TAGGCAATTGCAGGAAATCAAGCAAAATCCCGAAGAAACGATAGAAGAATTTGCTGAGCGCATAGAAGAACTTGCGGCTGAGGGATATCCAGAGACCCCTGAATTCTTTAAAAGTACCATCACCGTCGATGCCTTTCTACGAGGATGCACAGAAAAAAGGGCCTCATTGGTCACTCTGGACAAAGATCCCCAAACTTTGGACGAGGCAATAACTTATATGAAGAGCTCGATCACCAACCAAAAATTAATTATAGGTCCAAAGAAAGAGATTAAAAGTGTTTCATTCGAGAACAACAAGTCTGATGATAGTCCATCCAAAGATATACATATTAGAATGGCAAGAAGTCCATCACCACCAAGACCTTCATTAGAGTCAAGGATTTCAACATTAGAAAAAGAGAGCAAGGAAACAACCAGGTTGCTAAAAGAAATTCTGAAAGTATTACCAGCACCAGATGAAGAACGACAATCCAGACCCAGATTTCAGTCACCAAAAAGATCATCAACATCAAGGTATTCATCACCACAAAGAACCTTTAATGCGTCCGGATCAAGATATGAATCGCCAAAAAGATCCCCATCTAATAGCCCTGTAAGATCAGAGAGTCAGAGCGAGTGTTATGTGTGTGGTAAGATAGGCCATTTTGCTAGAAACTGTTGGAAGTCGAAATCAAGATCACCTTCACCAACACAAAAAGCTGTCAATTTAAACTTTCAAGAGCTGAGGAAATAGGTCATTCCTCAGCTCATACAAACACACAAAGACCTCAACCACACACTAAATTTAAATCAAACGTAAAAGAAATCAAACTAGCAAAAGAGAGTTCTATGAAATGCAAGACACTCTATCTACCAATAAAAGTTCAAAACATTAGTACTGAAGCTGTTTTAGATACCGCAGCTCAAGTTTCCATCATAAACTGTGAACTGTATGAAAAACTGAATCCAAGTCCTCAACTTACTGACCATGTTTCCTTAAAGGGTATAAGTAACACCAAGGTAGATTCCGTCATATGTCAAAATGTACCCTTATCAATAGGAAATTTTAGCACAAAATGGAATTTTGTAGTGGCTAAGGTGTCAGATCCAATAATTATAGGCCTTGATTTTTTAGAACACAATAAGGCAACTATAAATTTACAGGATTTTTCAGTAACAATAAAACATTGTAAAATTCCTGCAAAATGTATTGCAAATGAGGACAAAGAAAAAGTCAAAATTTTCAGAATACGCATGAAAAAGAAAGTGGTGGTTCCTCCACATGCTTATATTTATTCTGAAGTAGATTATGACATTACCCCAGAATTTGACATTGCTATAAGTCCATGTTACAATCTTCATGGTCTTTTGTCACCAAATTGTATAAATAGCAAAGATCAAAATTTTATCTTATTGAAAAACCCAACAGACAATTATAAAACCATCAAGAAAAACTTTGATGTGGGCATTGGTATACAATTAGATGAGGTCTTGGAACATGAAAGATCACAGTCACTAGATAGTGAAGATCCTATTAAAATCAGAAAAATAGATATTGAAAATCTAAACTTAGATCAGATTAGACAAAAAATACCAAAACATTAAACAGAAATGTTTGAAAAATCAATTCAAAATTTGTCAACAGAGCAAAGCATTCAATTTGCAAAATTCATTATTTCATTTCAAGATGTTTTTGCAAAAAAGGATTTTGACATGGGTTTATTCAATGGAGATATTCAACACAGAATTGACACAGGTGACGCTAAACCAATTAGACAAAAACTAAGAAGAACACCCTTATGTTTTGAGAAAGAAGAAAAAGAGCATTTAGATCAAATGTTAGAAAAGGGTATCATAGAACCATCTTCTTCTGATTGGGCTTCTTCTCCAGTATTAGTTAGAAAAAAAGATGGTAGTTTAAGATATTGCATAGATTTTAGAGCATTAAACAAGGTTACAACTAAAGATGCTTTCCCTTTACCAAACACCTCTGACTGTATTGAATCATTAAAGGGGAGTAATTTTTTGAGTACTCTTGACATGCAAGCCGCTTACTGGAACATCTCTGTACATAAAGATGACAAACACAAGACTGCTTTCATAACAAAATATGGTTTGTTTGAACATAATCGACTACCATTTGGTCTGTGTAACAGCCCTGCTACATTCAGTAGAGTAATCCAGTTAGTACTTCAGGGTTTAACATGGACAGAGTGTTTAGCATACTTAGATGACATATTGGTTCTAGGCTTTGACTTTGAAGATCATCTTAAAAAATTAGAACATGTACTCTCAAGATTTCAGCAATATAATCTCAAGCTTAAACCAAAGAAATGCCAATTTTTTCAGAAAGAAGTTAAATTCTTAGGCAAGATTGTAAATGGAAAAGGGATTATGATAACTCCTGAAAATATAACAACAATGAAAAATTGGACAGTTCCAACAAACATTAAACAATTGGAATCCTTTCTTGGTTTTGCAAATTATCATAGAGAGCATATTGATCATTTTGCTGACATCGTTGAACCATTACACCGTTTAGTTAGTAAACATTCAGAGTTCAATTGGCTAGATAAACATCAAGAGGCATTTGACAAATTGAAAGAAGCTATGTTAAAAGCAACAATATTAAACCACCCAGATCCTGAAGAGACTTTCATATTAGATACTGATGCTTCCGATAAGAGTATAGGAGCAGAATTAAGTCAAATTCAAGATTGCACAGAAAAAACGATTTCCTTTGCTAGTAAAGTTTTAACACCACAACAACGCAAATATTGTACAACTAGGAAAGAATTATTATCTATTGTTGTTTTTACCAGACAATTCAGACATTTTTTTTTAGGAAGACCTTTTGTTATTAGAACAGATCATAACAGTCTGATTTGGTTGATGAATTTCAAGAATATTCAAGGGCAGTTAGCTAGGTGGTTAGAAGAATTAGCGCAATACAATATGGTCATTCAACATAGATCTGGTAAACATCATCAAAATGCAGATGCATTGTCAAGAATTCCTGACCCATTACCATCATGTAATAATTATAGAGCAAATATTCCACTTGATTCTCTCCCTTGTGGAGGTTGTCCTTTCTGTACAAGAGCTAGAAATCAATGGGAAACTTTTGAAGAAGACATAGATTATGTAATTCCCATATCAATAAGATCCACAAGAACTAGTTCAGATTTAGATCAATATAAAAACATAGAATTAGACAATGATATAATCAAAAATGCACAAGAAGAAGATTCAGACCTTTGTCAAATTAAGTTGTGGTTAACAAACAAATATGAACCATCTATTCAGGAACTTCAGTTATCCAGTAAGACTGTAAGACATTTTTGGCTATGTAGATCACAGCTAAAAATAAAAAATGGTATTTTGTACTATTTGTGGGAAGACCCTTTAATACCGAGGTTACTTTATGTAGTTCCAAAAAGTCTGATACAAAATGTACTGGAATTATGTCATGATATTCCACTTTCGGGACATTTAGGGCAAACAAATACGCTAGAGAAATTGAGAAAATGTGCTATATGGTATAATATGCGTACTGACTGTAAGGAATATGTAAAATCATGTGAAGTTTGCAATAAAAATAAAAAACCAAATGTCAAAGCTAGAGGTCAATTAGGGCAGTATCATTCTGGCATTCCAATGGAAAGAGTCCATATGGATATTTTAGGCCCCTTACCTGAAACAAAATTAGGAAACAAATACATTCTCATGATCATAGATCAGTTTACTAAATGGGTTGAATGTTTCCCTTTACCAAATCAAAAGGCTGAGCTCATAGCTAAAACATTAGTTGATAACTTCATTTGTAGACTAGGTTGCCCATTAGAATTGCACACTGACCAAGGTAAAAATATGGATGGTAATATCTTGCGAAATATCTGTGATCTTTTACAAATTGCTAAGACGAGAACTACCCCATATCACCCAGCTTCAAATGGTCAGATAGAAAGATACAATCGAACAATTTTACAAGCTTTAAGGTGCTACATAAAAAACAAACAAGACACCTGGGACTCATATTTACAACAGCTTGCAGGAGCTATTCGAGCTACAAAAAACAGACAAACAGGGTTTACACCAAATCAAATGATGTTAGGGAGAGATGTTTTACAACCATTAGACATATTTCTTGGTACAACAATCAATACAAAAGAAACAGATGCAAATGAATTTGTTTCAAAATTAAGATCAAATATGGAACTTATCCATAAAGAAGCAAGAGAAAATCTCAAATGTTCACAACAAAGACAAAAAAGAGATTATGATTTGCAATCTTTTCAAAGTACATATCAGATAGGGGATGTTGTATATAAGTTGAATTCAGCCACAAATGTTGGTCAAAGTCCAAAATTAAAATCCCCTTGGAAAGGCCCTTACATCATTTCAGAAGTTAAATCCCCTGTTCTGTATAAAATAAAAAACAGAAAGAGAGAGGAAGTTATTCATCATGACAGAATTAAGCTTTGTCAAGATCGAAACCATCCTGTATGGTTATCTCGTTTAAGAAATCAAATTCTTAAGAAAGATGAGGTTGAGTTCAACCCTGTCCAAGAAACAGATTTTGACAATGTGTTCAACCTTTCAGAATTTTTTAATGAACAAGAAAATGATTTTTATGATGATAATGAAGATTTGTCTGGAGATCAACAGATAGTGGAGTCGGATACTCTGATACCATTGTCTTGTGATGTCTCAGATAATTCTAAAAAGAAGCCAGAAAGAAATAGGAGAAAACCAAGATATTTGGCTGATTATGATCTTGATGATTAATTCACTAACAAATTAATCTTTTATTGTAGTATATATAAATATATTTTTTTTATGACATACAATTCAGTAATTCAGCCCCCAGATATTTTATCTATAATATGATAATGAATAAGAACACTTATTCTAAAAAAAAAAATGTATAAAAATGTACATATATGTATATGAATATTCGGTACTTTAATTACCACTTATACACGTATGATATATTCAGTGTTTTACATATGTATTTAGTTAGAATGGAAGAAGAAAAAGGCTTCGTTCCTGATTACGAGTATGATCAACTACTCAGTCCTCCATCTAAGGTGCCTGGTTCTACCACTAGTAAAAGAGGGAAACCTTGCTCAATTTGCTTGGCAAAATTCACACATGTTAAGCGCCATGTTATAAAAGACCATTTGCCATGGTATGCGTATCCATCTACATGCTGCCCAACATGTAAAATTAACTTTGGCTAGAAACACTTTTTAGATATGCATGTGGAAAATCAGCATAACAATAATATCCCTGTACAGTTTGGTCGTTTTTGGATTGATTTTATGTATTACCTGTTCTTACAGATTATTCAAGTTTTGAAATTAGGAACTTTTGAGAACCTGATTAAATTCATTAACAGCAATGAACAGTTCAGCTGTTGCCAGGGATCTGTTTTTCAAGAGGATCATCTTGTTTATTGTGAAAAAATTTTAAAAGACAAGTTTCCAGGATTAACAGTATCAAAAATACCTTTTCCAGTAGATAATGTTTCATCTCTTTTACACTGGAAGATTTTAAGCAAACTTATAGATATTTCTAGTTGTCCAGATCTTCTTTTTAAAATTTACAAAAAGTATGTAGTATGGATTTTAGGTTCGTCAATTGTACATTGGGCTGCTCAAAGAGCAAATGACATTAGTGTAGAAAACCTTGAATTTGAAAAGACAAAATTGAATATTTTTTGGCATGGAATAAGAGGAATGAAGTGGGAAAGTTTATTGGATGCTGTTTCTTTTTGTACATCAAAGTTTCCTCTGCCAGATTTTATTATTATACATTTAGGTTCCAATGATATTAAATTTGGATGTTCAAGAAAACTATTACCAAACATGCAAAATGATTTAACTGAAATTGGACAAAAGTTTCCAAATTGCAAAATTATTTTTTCAGAACTATTAACAAGACTTACTTGGAGGGGTTTAATTTGGGACGAGGGAGAAAAGGAAAGATCTATGATTAACAAAGGAATTAGTGATTTTATTGGAATGGAACATATCATTAGACATGGTAAAATTGAACCAAGAAAAAGATATTTATTTAGAAGAGATGGCATCCATCTCTCAGATTTGGGAAATGATTTCCTATTGGATGATTTCAAGATTAAAATTCAACAAAGTATTATTTAAAGTTTAACAATATCTTTTATCATTATTTATTGCATATGGACAGTGCTGATAAATAGTCGGATCGTCTGATTGTTGTCAATTTCATTGTCTGTGTGTAATAAATATTCAACAGTTTTTATTTTGACAAGTTGATGTTCTTTTTAAGTTTATGTAGGCCCTATATGTGTTAATATTTTAAAAGATGTAAATATTTTTATGATCAAGATATGTATAAGACTTTTCAAATATGATAGGGAGGAATGTAGTGATAACGTATGTATTTATGATCGGGATCGGGATACTTTTAATGTCTATTAATAGCATATAAACAGTTTTTAGCAGTTACCCTCCAGACCTTACAGCAGATAGACGCTCATCGGCTTGTGAGATCCGGTAACTCATTTATGGTGAGTTATTCATAACTCACTATCGTTTTAATTATCTTTCCTTCACTGTATTATTTATATGTCTACATACTAACACAACATTAGTAATCCATCAGCCTGTATATTTCTAGGAAGGACAGTGACTGAGTGAGTTTACAATTGAAACCTCTCAGAGGGCAAGCACTAAAATATTCTATTTGTGTAACATCCCTTGGAATGCTGGACAACTCGCCCCCCAAGACAGGTCGCCCCCCAAGATAACTCGCCCACTATTCAGGACAACTCGCCCCCAATTTAGGACAACTCGTCCCCAATTTAGGACAACTCGCCCCCACTCAAGACAACTCGCCCCCAGTTTAGGAAACCAGCGAATATTAAATAATATGTTTTACGGTATGACCGTTAGGGCGAGCGCAGTTATGTACTATCATAATCCTACACATGAACTGTCTATCATTCAAGAAAAAAGAAAGAAAAACTAAACAATAAAAAGAAATCACTTCCCAAATATCGGGATCGAGATTCCGAACTTCTCGGAAATTTCCGACAAAATCGGAAATACCCGAACCGTTAAAGTGACGAAAGTATGACGTCAGATAAGAAGTCCTGTTGACTTAGGACGCAAACAATAGTTTTATGGCATGGAAACTGCAATAAATCGTTGTTTGTATTTTTTCAAGTAAGTTGTTGCTAGGTTTTAGCCAACTTGTTGCTATGCACCGCAAAGGATTACTGGGAGTTTAGAATTTTTTCACGCGGTGAGACAAAAATTTCTTGGAACAATGTGCAGATTTCAACCCGAATTTCCTACGTTCGTACACGTTAGTCTATTGAGCTCGCTTCGCGCCGCCTCGATGCGCTCGCTATAATTTACAGATACAGGTAAACTTCGGTATCTCAACATCGGGTATGTCGACAACCTGGGATGTGTTGACGTCCGTCCACAGTCCCGGCATTGTTTACTTTATAAATGATTTGCAAAAACTCTGATATGTCGACCTCGGTAATGTCGACTACCCCGCTTATCTCGACCTATTTCAAAGTCCCAAGAGCAAAACTTACCTGGTATATGTCGACAAGAAGCAATTTTCTGCTCTGTTTAACCTAATTGTTCGTCAGCTGGTCGCCCTTCACGCACGGACGACTCCGTGTATCGACGTCATCAGAAATTCACACTCATGTTTTGACTACATACTGCTCTGCAGAAATGTGTTTGTAGAGGAATCCCAAGCCCCCTCGGCATTTCTGAGACGTTAATTGTTTAATATTCAGCTTGGGTAAAATCATTGATAAATCTACTCGATTCTGCCTTAATGTAAAGTGTTTATTTATGTCGAAATCTAACAAAACTTTATCATTCTGTAAAATAAAAGTAATTGAATAACAATGCACAGTATACACATTGAATTCAATTTAACTTGTAAATTGTGGTAGAATTGCATTCAACAGGAAACAATCAAATCTACGACATGCACGACTAAATTGCATTAGCCATAATAGAAATGCATGTGTAACATCATTAGGTCTGTTAAATGCGCAGTTTCAATTAAATTTTGGTTTGAAAATGAAATGAAAATTAAAGATGAATGATTATGAAATAAAAATGAAGTGAACTGAAATCATTTTAAAAATTTATACATTATTTTTTTCCCATATCACGGAAGTCGACATTCTAGCGTTCCGGTTTGGAGTTTACACAGCGCAGTTGGTATCCTGTTTAGTTGCACGCGGATCGAATTCTAGATGGAAAATTGTTAGTTTAATGAGAAGATTTCGATAAAAGAGAAATATTTCATAAATTACATTTGTTAATTAATCTTAGATTTTCTAATAAAATTAAATTGTCGAGGGATAGCTGAAACAAACGAGCTACCGTTTATTGAAGACATGTACATGTAGGTAGTCACACGTCTTAGGTGTATGGTTTTTACTATTCAGTAAAATTAAGGACGTCAAGTCTCAACTCTGATATCTCGACACCTCGGATATCTCGACATTTTCCAATTGTCCCGTCGATGTCGAGATAACAAAGTTTACCTGTATTTGATATGAATTTGTTTCTTGAAAGTTAAAATAAACAATTGAAAAAATTTTTTTTCATTCTGTTGAAAAAAAAAGAAGAAATACAATGTATTTATAATTTAAACACTATCGTTATTGTCGCTACTGGCATTTTTTATATATATCTTCTCTAAATTCGCATATTTATTTTGCACTTTCATCACAAACACTAAAATGTAATTTTCAGAGCTTGCATGCAAAAATTCTCCATCACATTGACACTGCATTAGAACTTGGATACGACACGCAAATTTTTTAAAATAAATATATATATACTATGAGTAATTTCTGAGCTTGCATGTACTAATTTGAATTAGTAATCACTTTGAAATATCAAAATTAGTTGTTAGCTTGAGTATGTTACTAAATTTTCTGTCTGATGTTTCAATTGAAATTAAGAAATTATCATTAATTATCATCAGTATTGAAATATTAAAAGAGAAACCTGTAAATCAACATGAAATAACCAGCAATGTATGTAGCATTTTTATAGCTTCAGCGGGGAAGACTTTAAGACGAAGAAATCAACTACCCGTGAATTCACATAACAATAATAAACCATGGTTTGATAATAGCTGTCGCACAGCCAGAAGAAATTTTCATTTGGCAAAACTCTTAAATAATAAAGAAAAGTCAATTAAATCCCATGAGAATCTAAAGAATATGAGTAAAGAGTATAAAAGAATCACGGATAAATATATTAAGGAATAGAATAATGGAATTTCAGATAAACTTAAATCACTACAAAAAGAAAAACCGTAAGAATATTGGCATATTTTAAATAGCTCAAATCCGAAAAATAAAACAAGTGTTGATATAAATTCTATGTTTGATTTTTTAAAGAAAACAAATGAAAGTACTGTCCCAGATGATGACATAGATATTAACATAGACTTAAGTTTATGATAGTATCCTTAATCAGTCTATCACAGGTGAAGAAATAGAGAATGCAGTGAATAAATTTAAAAACAACCAATAAAACACCAAGGGGGCGATTATGTTTTGAACGAGTATAAAAAACTATGAAAAGTATGAAAAAAACTATTTCAAGATTTCTGCCGCTGTATGAGAATTATTCAACGTGATCTTTGATAGTGGCATAATAACAGAAGACTGGTTAGTAGGATTAGTTAAACCTATTTATAAGGGCAAGGATGATAGAAGCCATCCTGAAAATTACAGACCAATTACTTTACTTAGTTGTTTAGGAAAACTTTTTACCAGTATACCTTGTGACCGTTTAAATACTTTTGCTGATGAGGTAGAGCTGATCAATGAATCTCAAACAGGATTTAGAAAAGGTTATTCTACTACTGATAATATATTTGTGATTGATTTTTTAGCTCACCTGAGCCGAAGGCTCAAGTGAGCTTTTCTGATCACATTTTGTCCGTCTGTCTGTCCGTCTGTCTGTAAACTTTTCACATTTTCGACTTCTTCTCAAGAACCGCTGAGCCAATTTCAACCAAACTTGCCACAAAGCATCCTTGGGTGAAGGGGTTTCAAGTTTGTTCAAATGAAGGGCCATGCCCTCATTCAAGGGAAGATAATTGGCAATTAATGAAAATTTGGTGGCATGTTTTAAAAATCTTCTTCTCAAGAACCACTGTGCTAGGAATATGATGAAACTTATGGGGAATAATCCTCAGGTAGTGTAGATTTAAGTTTGTTCAAATCATGACCCCCGGGGGTAGGGCTGGGCCAAAATGGACGACCAAAGTTTTACATAGAAATATATAGGAAAATTCTTTAAAAATCTTCTTCTCAAGAATGACAAAACCATAATTCATTATATTTATATGGAAGCATCCTCAGGAAGTGTAGATTCAAGTTTGTTCAAATCATGACCACCGGGGTTAGGGCGGGGCCAAAATGGCCGACCAAGGTTTTACATAGAAATAAATAGGAATTTTTTTTAAAAATCTTCTTCTCAAGAATGACAAAGCCATTATTCATCATATTTATATGGAAGCATGTTCAGGTAGTGTAGATTCATTTTTGTTCAAATCATGACCCCGGGGGTAGGGCAGGGCCAAAATGTACGACCAAAGTTTTACATAGAAATATATAGGAAAATTCTTAAAAAGTCTTCTCAATCATTTTCTAAAAAATAGCAAATCCATGATTGGTCATGGGACTACTTTTGGATGTAAACTTTACAATAAAAAGCCATTTTATACTAGTCCTACCCTTGGTGCTCAGGTGAGCAATGTGGCCCATGGGCCTCCTGTCATCGTTGTTGTTGTCGTTATCTTTGTAAATTATTCACATTTTCATCTTCTTCTCAAGAACCACTGGGCCAATTTCAACCAAACTTGCTACAATGTATCCTTGGGTAAAGGGGATCCAAGTTTGTTCAAATGAAGGGCCATGCCCTTTTTCCAAGGGGAGATAATTATGAATTAGAGAAAAATTAATGGCATTTTTTAAAAATCATCTTCTCAAGAACCACTCGGCCAACAGGCTTTCAACAATTTAGGTAATTTAAACTGCCACATGAAGTTACACACAGGTGATAAATTCTAGTGTGATGCGTGTTGGATGGAATTCAACCAATCAGAGAACTTGCAGAAAGACATTATGACACATACAGGTAATAAACATGCTGCAGACAAACCTTATAAATGTGATGTGTGTGAAAAGGCATTCAACTGGCCAGGAAAATTACAGGTACACATGAGAACACACACTGGTGAAAAACCTTATAAATGTGATATCTGTGGGAAGGCATTTGCACTGCTGCATCACCTTCAGGATCACGCAAATATTCATACAGGTGATAAACCTTATATATGTGATGTGTGTGGGAAAACATTCAACAAATTAAATGCCTTACAGAGGCACATGAGAATGCACACAGGTTATAAACCTTATAAATGTGATGTGTGTGGGAAACAATTCAGCCAGTCATGTCACTTTAAAGAACACATGAGGATACATACAGGTGATAAACCTTATAAATGTGATGTGTGTGGGAATGCATTCAACCAGTCACAACAATAACAGAAACACTTGAGGACACATGCAGGTGATTATCCATGTAAATGTTTTGTGTGTAGGGAGGCATTCATCAATATACACCACTTACAGAAGCACATGAGGACACATACTGGTGAAAAATCTTATAAATGTGAAGTATGTGGGAAAGCATTCAGCCATTCACATCACTTGCAGACACACATAAGGACACATACAGGTGAAAAACCTTATAAATGTGATGTGTGTGGAAAGTTATTTACCCGTAAAGATACCTTACAAAGACACCTGAGAATACATACAGGTGATGAACCATTCAAATGTAATCTATGTGAGAGGGCATTCAAATATTCCAATGATTTAAAAAAACACATGACTACACACACTGGAGAGAAAATGTGATTTTCGTCCAAGAGCATATTGTAAAAAGTCAGATCTAGATAGACATCTGAAGATACACACATGTGATTAACCTGTTAAGTGTCGTTGTGTGTGGAAAGGCATTCAACCGATTGCACACGTTAAAGATCTACATACAGACACATTGTGACGAGAAACATTAATATTGTGATGTCAGAGAAAAATTATCCTCAAATAGCATATGATGTTTTTGGGAAGTCAATTGAAACAGAACTATTCATAGAGTTTAAAAGATCAATTATATGTAATTGAGAAATTGAAATAAATACATCAGGAATATGAAAATGATTTAACTGTGATTTGTTCCATAGATCTTTTTTTCAAAGAGAAAGCTCTCCGTTGCAGATGTATACACATATATGTAGAAGTCATTGTAAACTACCAACAGAACTTGTCCGTAAGAATGCACATAAATAGAAAGAAACATACTATTAATGTCACAACAATTTCCTACATAAATTCAAGAAAGAAGACGAAAAAATTCTACTAGTATTTAGAAAAGCAAAGGATGATAACAAGAAGGCATCTTTCGTGACAGACAAGTTTAACATTAATGGGAGGCTTTAAAGACGGGATCAAGCGATGGATATACAGCAGAACACAGGGGACCACAGCCAACTTAATGGGTTGGGATAAAACATTAATGGTGGTTTTGAAAATAAATGGAATACCTTAAAAAAAATTATGTACATGTGAAATTATTTGTTTATCCAAATGTTGGTTACATAAAGATTTCTCTCTGGATATGGGAGATTTTCACACACGTATTTCCACGAGATGCAAGGGGGAGGAACAGTTTTATGATAAAGATACATTTGTACCATATGTTTATAAAAGAGGAGATAACTTTGATCCTAACTATTAAAGAGGTATTAGTTTGGTAATTAAAGGTACTGGGACACAGACTGAAGTTTTGATTTTCTCTATAATATTACGTCATATATTTTAACTGCATTTCACATAAAAATCAATTAAAAATCTTATTTCGTATAAAAGATGTTAAAAGAGCAAGAGCCATCTAATGCATAAAATGACCCTGTACTTATATCAATAAGTATCACCCTCTTTCCATTGTCCTTTCCAAAATGTTGAACTAGTGATGCATTCTTTAATCACTCCCTCTTTTTCAAAGAATACAAGACTTTATTGTGCCTTTATTGATTTTAAAAAAAATATTTGGTTCTTTTAATCGATCCAAACTTTATTTGAAATTGTCCAGAATTGGTATTTAAGACAAGCTTTTACGTGTTTTAAAAGGATAGTATAAAAGTTTTAAAGCATGTGTAACTTCTGAAGATTTATTGAGTAACATTTTTAGTAGCAATCTCGGACTAATGCAAGGAGAAGTACTTTCACTCATTCTATTCGACATGTATGTGGATGACTTTAAAATGCAATTTTTAAAATTTGATGTGTACCATATGAAATTTCATCATTGAACCTTTTTCTCCTTATGTACTATTTTGAAGACGATATGGCGCTCTTTTCTGAAACAATTTCTGGTCTGTAATCCTATTGGATCAATTATCAAACTATTGTGAAACATGGAAATTAAACAGTAATGTGCACAAATCATAGATTGTTGTTTTTAGAAAAGGAGGATTAGTAAAAGAATGTGAAAAGTGGTATATTAATGGTGAAAAACTTGAAATTGCTATACAGATATATCAGATGGATATTTAGGACAAGTTCTGTTTCAAATTTATTTTTTTTTAATTAAAGACAAAAAGCCATTTTTTTCTCTAATATATTTAAAAACTGAGTAAATTATTTTATATTCACACAATATATTTGACTTTTTTTGAATTTCTTCTCCTATATTTCCGATAGTTTTAAAACCAGCATCTGAAAACAGGTCTTTTACATATTTTATATTTTTAACCCAGTGTTTAAAGAATATCGTTTTCCCCTTAAATAAAAAGAGTTTATTATTCCATATTGGTTCTTGTAGAATTTCGTTTATATTCATCCTTTTTAAGTCAGGAAGTTTTTTACATTAATTAAAATAAATGGACATCAACAACATAAATTTATAAATATAAAGAACAAAAGGTATTTTAAGGGGAGACAGGACACATGTCACATGACTAAAAAGACATAACACGTCATAATCGGTGATGATATACATGTTAAGCGTTGTTAAAATAAACAGTTCTTGTGTAATTTTATTCTAAATTCTAAATTTGTTTTTTAAATATTTCATTTTAGAAATTATTATTAATAAAATCTTTTAAAGATCTTGCCATCATTTAGATATTTGAAGTTGCCCAATCCACACATTTGTTTCTCTTTACCCTGCAGTCTGACGTCAGTGACGTCATAGACGTAGTGTTTAAATTCTCAGTGCAGCGAGATCAAGTACACACACCCGTCATGATCAGTTTTATTTCATAATAAACAGGTCACAGTCAATTTATCGTGATAAATTTCTGAAGCAGTTTTTTTTAATTAATATTTTTTGGTGTTTAGTAGCAGAGATTCAATCTATTTACATAATTTTGAATGTTTATATTTTCGTGTGACGTCACAATTGATTTTCCGCGCACTCGGAAAATACAAACGTGAAGCGTTTTTATCATGCTTACGTCTAATTCAAGGATGTCCTGTGCAATATTGAGGTTAGCTTCACCCTGTGATATTTATGCAGTAAATAATTACGATGAAGGACTGACATTCAATCGTAAATTTAGAAATATTTATTGACAGATTTTTTTTCAAAATGAGGTTTTTGTCGTTGAAGCTGCCTTGAAAAATGCAGAAATTATCCCACCGAAATACTATATAAAATTAAAACAATTGCTTTCAGGTAATTTAAACACTATGAATATTCTGAAATATTTGAGTGTATAGTGTTATCTATCATATTTATCGTTTGTGAGTAAAAATTCGCATTATGGACTCCGTTAAGGGCCCGTAAACATGAAGTATCTAAACTCCATACAAACTGTAAACAGGCCGGTATTTGTGGGGCGATATCTTTTAAATAAGTCAAGAAATCCAATAATAGGACCGTTTTAAAATATTAAGTACATATTAAATTAGTTATATAAAAAATACGAAAAAAATTCATTGACAGGAATTTTTTCAGCTAAAGGTCCTGTTCCTCCTTAATTTTCATGGAAACTATTGTAAGATTGAAAGTAAGAAGTGTCATTTTTTTTATAATGTTCTTTTGAGTAAGAAATTTTCTCCGCCAAAACATCAGCGTTTACTTGGTGAAATATTCATTGTTAATCAAGAAATGTGGAAATCTATTTATCAGCAAAAGATTAAAGTAGCTGTAGATAAAAACATTGCAGATTTCAATTACAAGTTACTACACAATTTACTTTGTTGTAAAAAATATATGGTAAAATGGAAAAAAGAAACCTCAGATAAGTGTTCTATCTGTTCTAATGTTGAAGACATGCAACATCTTATTTTTGAATGTAGAAATGTTAAATATATCTGGGATATAGCTTCCACTGTGTTGAAAATTAAAATCAAATGGAAAGACATTATAATTGGTTTTTACTTAGAATGTAATAAGAAAACATATTTTTTGAATAATTTTATTTCCTTTATTGCATTAAGGATATATAAATACAAAATGTTCTGTAGAATAGAAAATCTCGATGAAACTGAATATAATATTTTACATCATATAAAAAAATCCACAGTATTTTGGTGCAAAGTAATTAAATGTTGTAATTATTCACTTAATGTTGATATTATTGATAAGTTTACAAAATTACTGTAAATTGTATTTTTATGTAAATATATTTATGTATATCAATAACACATTTAGAATTTAGTTTTATAAGTATAATAACTCCCGCTACTAGCGGTTTCAGTCCCCCTAGTAGTGCTGCTGAAGGGGAACCCAAGGACTGAACGAGTGTATGTGATCTCCCCTTTAGACAGCAATGGGAATGTGTATTCATATATACTCCTCTTATATATTGATTGTAAAATTAATATAATAATGTTTTCAATTACTTATATTTTAGATATATAAAAAGCATTCTAATATAAACATTATTTGTTTATAAAAAATAATGTAACTATTATTACTTATGTACGCTATATGTCTTACAATATCAATAATCATCCTGCGAGGTGATATAGAATTTAATTTTTGTAAATGTATTTAGATGGAGTTTAGTCAGGGCCCCATCCCTGGCAACTGCCATAAATATCTGAGTAGGGAATTTTTATGTTATAGCATAGGTCTGGAAAATAAATTTAAAAAAAAAAAAAAAAAAAAAAAAAAAAAGACAAAAAGCCCAACAGGCGTATAAGAATACACAACTGTACATATAAAACATGATTTTAACTTATAAACAAAACTGCTTGAAAGAATGAATAGCATTAATGTTTTTTACAATTCACATGTATAGTTCAAATAATAAAGTGTAGTAGGCCTCTGCTTATACAAGAAAAAAAACTATGTGTATTATAATTTTTTTTTACATAATAGTTTTGGTATTTTTAAAGGTACTTTTCTCTACAATATTACGACTTATATATTTTAAAAACATTTCACACAAAAATTGATTAAAAATTTTATTTCATTTAAAAAAGTTATTAAAACTTCAAATTTTTGGCGGGTTTGATTGACACATTGCACTTTTACAAATTTTAACTTTTTTAATACTTAGGAAAAGTGGCAATTTTGTTGTGTATAAATGAAAAATATTATTCCTATAATCCAGAAAATTCAGAGTAGACGTGTTCGAAAGCAAAACAAACACAATATATTGTCAGTCCGTGCAGTTGTGGTGAGCAGACTTTAAAGATTGAACGCATCCGGTGAATCGTAAACATCATCAATAACAGAGCTCGGGCCCTGTTTACAAAAACTGTGTAAAAACACTTAGCTTCGAATTATGAAACTTGTGAATGAGTTTTGCTTTGTAACATTTCTACTGTGAATAAAATTATTTTTCTGGATTAAAGTTTTAATACTTATTTCTTACTGAGTAATACACAATTAACAAGATTGCCACTTTTCCTAAGGATTAAGAATAAAGTTAAAATTTTATGAAAGTACAAGGATGTGTCAATCAACCGGCCAAAAATTTTGAAGTTTTAATAATTTTAAATTGAAATATGATTCTAAATTAATTTTTGTGTGAATTAACATTAAAATCTATAGAGAAAATATAACTTCAAATCTATGTCCAAGTACCTTTGACATATTACTGACAATAAATCAGGGTGTTGCAGAAACTTGCGATTATTCCCTATATATTGAGAAGGGCATTTCAATACCCTCCATTATGTCTAAATATATACGTAGAGGACTATATGTTTACGGCGGGTATTTCCTGCTTGATACAGCAAAACACTTTCGTCATTTTTCACGAAAAAGGTTGGAACAACAAAAAGCACAGTGGCTAAAGCGTCAATTTAAAAGATATACTGTACACATCGTGCGAAAATATTTTGGATGAAATAAAACTGCGTCCCGTAATCACACTGTCGGTGCTTCATCCAAGACATAGATCAAATCTTGGCTACTAACTTAGAGACAACGGTTATACATACATTTTATCTTGTTGCAACTTTTCAATAACATAAGACTTTCATAGCATATCAAACACTAAATATGGTCAGATTGATATGCTTTGATTTCTTTTAGCTGAAATTAACAAAGTATTATTTTATTTCTATTCTGTTTTATCACATCTTACTTTATCATATTTAAGAAGTGAAAAAAAAGTTTTATTTTATGACATGTTCTAGGCATATGATATCGGGGATGGATGGGGTGGGGTACCTCCAACCCCTACCCCAAACAAACACTTTCAAGTATTTATTATGCAATCCATTTATTTTCTTTATTTTAAGTCTTTTGTTCTTAATTTCCTTTTGTGTCCCTTTGGGTTCCTTTTGGCTTCTTTGGGGTCCTTTGGGGTAAATCGACACACTGGGGATTCATTATGATCGGGCTCGGCATTTTGACTTATTTACTTTGTACACAAAGCCAGATCGGACGGTGCATGCACAAAGCCAGATCGGACGGTGAAGGTAATCATATGATATTAATTTGTATCATCTGTTTGATAAGTTTATTCCATCAGTCCTTGCAGAAACATTTCCGTATTAAGGGGATGAAGGACCTTTAGCTGAAAAAATACCTGTCATTTAATTTTTTTCATATTTTGTATATATCTTATTTAGTATGTCCTACATACTATAAAGCAGACATATCAATAGGTTTCTAGACTTATTTCTGAGATATTGAGTGACAAATACCATACCCCACAGTGTCTGAGCGGAGTTTTTATTCTCCGTGTTTCTGGGTCCATTACTCGGTCAATAATTGAAATTTTTCACCATAGATAAAAAAATATACCAGCGGAAATATGTCTTTTAAAATATTTTAGAGTATGAATAAGGTTAAAAATTCGAAAAAGCAAGATTCTTTTGTATCACTACATCTGGAGACGGAAATTTACGACTTTTTTAGGACAACTTAAACCATAAAAAAATTAATTTGCAATAAATCCTATCATTCAATATTTGAAAATTTACGTCTAAGTTCAAGGTCGTCATTGTATTGATTAACTGTAAAAATATCGATTGGTGAAGCTGAGCTCAATATTGCACGGGGCAAAGTTAAACGAGTCATGATCATGAGAAAAACGTGTCATGTTTACATTTCTCGAGTACGGGAAAACCCAACTATGACGTCACACATTCCTGAAATAAGCGAAATAAGACAAACCCACAGAACTTTTCCGTCAACAACCATGTAAAAATATTTTTTGCGTTCTGAAATTTGCAAAATACCCTACCATGTACATATTATGGCCCGTTTTTATACTACCCGTTTTTACCGTGTATGATCTTACTGAACTAAGAGATCCACTATGACGTCAAAGACACACTGGACGCGCAAAGTAGGGAAACGGCAGAGTGGATTAATCTATTCCGTAATTTGATAATATTTGCAAGAAATTTTGAATGTTTTCAAATATTTTTATACTAGATGGTGAACGCAAACAAACAGTCAAAAAAATTATACGAGTACTGTGGTTTCAATCTCGTTTTGTACATATTTTATCAGAGATTATGACGTAAATCAACTGAGTCACGTGACCATACATCCTTCATCCCCTTAAGGGACGTCACAACTGCAAAAGGCTAGAAAGACGTCACGTGGCGTGAGTCCAGGTCGGAGGGTAACGTTAGATTCTAATAGGACACGGACGCCTCATATATTAACCCTTAGTTAAAATAATCTAACTGTGTCTCAGTACAAGCCCTCACCCTGGTCCGTAGGACAATATCATTTTAACGATAGAACATTCTATCTAATTAACCCTTTAATCACGGGTTTTCGTGGTATTTGGGCTGATGTGTATCAGGTCCAGTCCAAAGACTATTTTTCTACCTACGTAGGTATTAATAGCTACCTAGGTATTTAAAGCTACCAAAAGTAGCTATATTTACCTACTTTATATAATTTCTGCATTTTGTGACCAAATCACCAAACGGTGCAACATGGTGATTTCCATATTTTTTGATATGGTCACACTAATGATAAATACGACGAAATTTTGGCGAAAAAATGATTACTTCCTGAATCGACAATTTTACATTAGTTGCTTTGCAAAATTGATAAAATACGAAGTTTTCATTTTTTGGCCAAATTTTTGTCATATTCAACATCAGTGTCACTGTGACTGTATCAAGAAATTGTGTGCTCACCATGTTGCACCGTTCATGCCTTTGGCCACAAAATGCAAGTAAAGCAGAAAGTAGGTAAAAATAGCTACTTTAGGTAGCTTTTAATACCTAGGTAGCTATTAATACCTACGTAGGTAGAAATAGTCTTTGGACTGGACCTGGGTATAGGCCTAATCTCAGCGAGATGGGTAGAGACTGAAAATTTGGACTGACGTCTACTACCCATCTCAAACAGATGCCATACAACGTGATTTGGGCTTTTTTGCTCCGACTTTGGCAGCTCGTTTCAATAAATACAGGCTGAAATAAATTATCTGCCCGCCTCAACTTTTTCCTTTGAACATCCCTTAAAGTGTCTATCACTATAAAACTTTCCTTTCTTACCTTTAAAATGTTTAAATCCAGTAAATAATAAAGTTGTTTATTTTTCCTGACAGCATAATGGCTGTTTGCTATTCATTTTAACCTTCTACTACTACTATTTCTTATAAGAATGATCTATAGTACGAATTATTGGAAACAGATTATTGTGGAACTCTTCAGCAGCGAAGGTTTAATTTATTTCAGCCTGTATTTATTGAAACAAGCTCTCATTTTGAGATCTATGCGACTTCAAGGCCTGTAGAATAGCGAGCACAGGGAGCATTGGGAAGCAAGCTCAATAGACTAACGTGTAAGAACAGGGGAAATTCGGATTGAAATCTGTACCACAGTACATACGTCAGCCAAATTTCTCTGTGCAACAATCTCAGAATTCCTGCACTATCCAATTAGGGGTGAAACGAAATGCCTCCTTCAAGGTTCGATACGTATCGAAAAATTTGGTCTCAGTTCGGTTATTTTCGATACGATACATTTTGATAGAAGGAAACAAATTCAACTGTTGTTTTATCCTTTTTATTTAATCAAGTCAAAGAATTTATGTGCAAAATGTTGTGTTGCTTGTAATATTGTGTAAGTAAAGGAACAATTGGCCATAATGTGAAAAATTGAGGTATTTTCCATGAAATACTCAGGGGCCACTAGCATGAAAATTAAGTCATTGACCTAGTTGTTTGAAATAGAAATTTAGCACAAGAATCACAGGTGTACAATGTCAAATAGGTGGTTTGTATCAGTGGAATTTTTAGTCATCTTAGTAAAGGTATACCTTTAGTTAAGTGTGAATCACACAGACCTACAAGCAAGCATTTTTTTCATGAAGCCCTAGCGTGCATTATGAAATATGCCTACATGGCAAGTTTGTGTGATTCACACAATAATTTCTCATGAAAAACTTTAAAACATTCCTTAATTAAACGTTATTTTTCTTATCACATTTGCAGAAAGAAAACACAGCGTTTGAAACCAATTCAAGTATTGAAGAACATGCCGTAAATGTAATGGACGATTATTCAGATCAAAATCCAACAAGGAATTTGCATGTAAAAAGACAGATCAATACATGTAAGTGATAAACCCCATAAATTAAGCAATATGGAAGTTTCAAGTACTTCAACTTGTTTAGGTCACTCAAAGAGACACATCAGCACAAAAACCAGTGATCAAAATTTTAAGTGTGAATTATGTGGGAAGCCATTTTCCGTATCAGTAGACATTAACAGCTACATGAGGACCCAATCTGGTGAAGAACCTGACATTTGTGATGCTTGTGAAAAGACGTTCAACCAATCAGGTACCTTACACAAAAAGACGTTCAACCAATCAGGTACTTTGCACAAAAAGACGTTCAACCAATCAGGTACCTTTCAGAAAAATAAGAGGGTACATACTGATAATATACGCTATAAATGCGATGTGTGTGAAAAACCCTTTAAACGATTTTATACTTTGAAGATACATATAAGGATACACACAGGTTATGAACCTTATAAATGTGGTGTGTGTGGAAAAACTTATATGGAACCGGCAGTTTTAAAGAGACACATGAAGAAACATACAGATGATAAATCTCATAAATGTGGAGTGTGTGAAAAGGCTTTTATATACCTTGCTGTTTTAAAGAATCACATGCGGACACATACAGGTCATAAACCCTACAAATGTGGTGCGTGTGGAAAATCATTTTCTCAATCAAGCAACTTAAAGATTCACCTTATGATACATAAAGGCGAGAAACCTTATAAATGTGATTTGTGTGGAAAGGCATTCAGTCGGTTAGGTGACTTACAGAGACACATGAGAACGCATACAGGTGATAAACCTTTTAAATGTGATATATGTGAGAAGACATTTAGCCAGTCACAATGGTTAAAGAGCCACATGAGGACACATAATGGTAATTAGCCTTATGTGAAATATGCGAAAAGGCATTTCACCGATTAGATAATTTACAGGAACAGAGGCTGACACATACTGATGATAAACCTTTTAAATGTGATCTTTGATGAAAGGCATTCCACTGGGCAGGAAAACTATAGATACACATGAGAACACATACTGGTGATAAACCTTATAAATGTTTAAATTTAAAGTTCAAATTACAATTGTTTTTGAATACTGCATTATATTTTTTTTTTCAAGACTCTTTCATTTTTTAAAGACTTTTATGTTTTTGATTCCAAAATAAAATTGTAAGTTTGATTGTTATTTTGTTTTGGTTTTTTAGCTCACCTGAGCTGAAAGCTCAAGTGAGCTTTTCTGATAAAATTTGGTCCGGCGTCCGTTTGTCTGTCTGTCCGTCTAGCTGTCTGTCTGTAAACTTTTCACATTTTCGACTTCTTCTCAAGAACCGCTGGGCCAATTTCAACCAATCTTGCCACAAAGCATCCTTGGGTGAAGGGGATTCAAGTTTCTTCAAATGAACGGCCATCCCCTCATTCAAGGGGAGATAATTGGGAATTAATGAAAATTTGGTGGCGTGTTTTAAAAATCATCTTTTCAAGAACCACTGTGCCAGGAAAGATGAAACTAATGGGGAATCATCCTCAGGTAGTGTAGATTCAAGTTTGTTCAAATTATGACCCCCGGGGGGTAGGGCGGGGCCAAAATGGCCGACCAAAGTTTTACATAGAAATATATAGGAAAAATCTTCTTCTCAAGAATGACCAAGCCATAATTCATCATATTTGTATGGAAGTATGCTCAGGTAGTGTAGATTCAAGTTTGTTTAAAACATGACCCCTGGGGGTAGGGCGTGGCCAAAATGGCCGACCAAAGTTTTACATAGAAATATATAGGAAAATTCTTTAAAAATCTTCTTCTCAAGAATGACCAAGCCATAATTCATCATATTTATATGGAAGCATCCTCAGGTAGTGTAGATTCAGATATTTCAAAATCTAGAGTTGCATCTTTTTCATTAAAACATTTGATGTTTTCATATTCTATTTCTACATGTTTTTTTGTTTTCATCTTCGTATAACAAATCGGAGTGTAAATGTCACGGTAATACATTGTAAAAACATCAGATACCGATTCTGGAGTAGATGCAGTTATTAATTCCTTTGTATGTTATCTCTGGATATATCTATTCTCGCCGAGGTTTTTGTTTACTCATTAGTTTCCAAAACAGCCGAGCATCGCACCCGGCTGCTTGATCAATATCGGTATAGGTGATTTTGATGTACTTTTCAAAGGCGAATGTCTGACATTTTCGAAATTGTCTTTTTGCGCGCTTATAGTTGAAATAAGTCTGGTAATGCATCCCCCTAGGCATTCCTTCCACATTCCAACTGCTTCTCATCCTCCTTTCCTGCGCATGGGCTTCTTTCACCTCTTCAGTCCAGTATGATTTACTATGGGGGTTGAATTTAGATCTGGGAAGGGTAGTGTTTGCACTTGAATTAAGCATTCAACAAGGGACTCATGAAGATCATTTATTTCTGGTAGAGTTTCTGGTACTTGGTTCGCTATTTTTAATTGACGGCAAACTTCAGTTTGGTACGAAAGTATAGAGTCGTTAGAAAAATTGTGCCAAGCTGGAGATTTGTTTTTAATATCAGTAAGATGCTGCTGCTTACTCTCTATATCTAATACTGCTAAAATAGGAAGTTGGTCAGAGGTACTTGAGACTGTCCTCTCATCAAGGATTTCATAGGATCTGAGACACGTATACAATTAGCATCTGAAAAAATATAGTGTAACATTGTCCGGGTACCTGTAAATGTGTATTTCAATTCCCTCGTTTTTAAGCTACCCAGCAAATACCTAAGATTATTTCGTCCTACAAAATCCCTCAGTGCCTTCGACTTGTAGAAATTACAGCGCCCATTATCTAATTCTAAGCAACTAGCATTAAAATTCCCCCGCTATTACGACATACCGGCCATACCTTGGATAGTAATCGTAAAAATCCTGTAATTTTGAAAGTTCGTCTGTGTATACTAGTATTTCAATATTATTTTCTGCTGGGAGGTATGCCCCCACAATAAAAATTTTCTCATTATCGTTTATCTTACATGCTAAAGCAATAATTCTTGATGATTCAATTGGTATTTCTGCTACACTAAACATAAAGCATTTTTTCAGTAATATTGCGACACCTGCTTTTCCATGTAATTCATTACTTGATTGGGGTTCAATATATCCAATAATTTCTAAAATTATGTTCTAATTTACATATAAATATCCTATAATTAAGGTGTTTCCACCCTTACAATTTCATAGGTTCAAAGTACAAAAATTGCATTTATTTTCATTTAAAGCCATATATGGCGTAACTGATCAAAAAAATATATTTCTGAAAAAAGCAAAATTAAGTAAAGAAATATAGTTAATACATTTAAATTAAAGCTTTTCATACAATTCTGAACACGAAAAACACCTAATGACACGACTTTATCTTCTCTCTAATGTGTTATTTAAATCTTTTGTATTTTCTTCCGAGTCGGAGAAAATTCAAAAAATTCAAATTAAATTGTGATATCTTTGTAACGCAATTGACTTAGATTTTGTAATTTACGGAAAAGTTCTATCTTGATATAAAGTAATGATACAAATAATAAATTCTAATATTTTTAGTCTACTAATTTTCACTGTACATACGCCATATATGGCTTTAATATACTTTAAACTTTCCAATTATTGCAAAAATGTATAGGTCACCATATTATTTAAGATGCGAAACATAAATAAACAGAAGTGTATGTCAACACTAAAAAACCGTACATTTTTTGTAAATATTATAATGAAAAATATGTAAAAACTGGTTAAAATGCATAATTCTGAGGCTGAGTATTCCTAAATACTTCATTGTGAATATTAGGGAAACTATTTTGCAATAAAGCAAATGTCGGAATGAAGAGACCTTAGCAGGATTTATTGCCCTTGTCAACATTTTTTAAAGATTGAAAAATTGATTAAATATAGAATATGTGCATTTTTAAAATTCTTTAACTTAACAATATTTATCATTAAACCTATTGTAAAGCATTCTTTCAAGAGATATTTTTCTATTAGGGATGAATTTAAACTAATTACAGTTTTTGCAGAAACCTATGACATCATAGGAGGGTGGAATTACCTTAAAGTTTTTTGGCATCTCAAAAATATAGGCTCGCCAATTCTGCTTAAATTGATCAATTAATCTAGTTTTTTACCAAATTTGACGCCAATATTTTCTTTGGAGAAAACTGTTGCGACCACAACTCAAACATTCCACATTCATTTATTTTTTTTTTTCAACATAATTAATCTACTTAGACTGCATTAAGTCATGTCCTCTAAGTTTTGATAACTTATTTATATAAAAGAAAAGATAAATAATTTGCCTTATTTACCACAAACAAGTCTATGCCAAAATCTAATAACTGGACTGAAAAAAATATTTCTACTGGATATCTACCTAGTTTACCATATAAAACCTGAACAAGGGTACATTTTTTTCAGATTTAGAATTATTTTGGAAAATTGTAAACATAAACTTTCTATGACATTGTTTTAATTATCAAATCCCCATACTTCATAAAGTAATGTTTTGGGTACATGTACAATCGTGCCATTTTTGACAAAGTTATGCCTCTTGAACCACCTTCTTTCAGGACCAATTTTCTACGTACAATACTACATGTCCTGATATCACTTTACTGTAGTCAAAAGTGAGGGGGCCAATATGCCAACGAACATTTTCAATAGTAAAGTATTGTTTGGAAAAAAGTGGGGATGGGGGGAGGTCCACCCACCCCCACCCCCACCCCCACCCCCTGTTGCGACGTGCCTGGCTCATTCAATTGAAAATAAGTTGTCAAGACTAAACACCTACTGATCAAACGAATATTTGGTTGTATGCACTTTTAGGTGAATATACCTAGGGCAAACAAGGTAATAGGACGAAACCACTGTGATTCATTATGATCGGGCTCGGCATTTTGACTTATGTACTTTGTACACAAAGCCAGATCGGAAGGTGCATACACAAAGCAAGATCGGTCTGTCTCTGATCATCGGACAGTGCAGGTAATCATATGATATTAAGTTTATAACTTCTGTTTAATGTGATAATTCTATCAGTCCTTACATAAACATGTTCTGTATAAAATGAGGTCAACTGCAAAAGACAAGAAAGACGTCACGTGGTGTGAGTCCAGGGTCGGAGGGTAGATTGTAACAGGTCCAGGAAAATCACTATAGCTTTATTTACCTACAGTACTACCATTGGCGGATCCAGAGGGGGGGTTCCGGGGGTTGGAACCCCCCCCTTTATTTTTGCCAAGTTGAGAGAGAGAGGGAGAGAGAGAGAGAAGATAAACAATTTTAGAGAATAAATATTCATGAGTCTAACTTACATAGATATTACATAGATACCGGGCATTATTAGTTATGTAGACACTTAGAGGGGTAATACGGAAATATGTGGGGTCCTTGAAAAAATCCATATTGGGCGAGGCGTAAGCCGAGCCCAATATGCATTTTTTCAAGGACCCCACATATTTCCGTATTACCCCTCTAAGTGTCTACATAACGAATTTATCCTGCCGATGGTTCACCAAAAGATTAAATATTGATATTGTAGTATCAATAAACCGCTTTCACTGAACGTCCAGGCAAGACGTTCTACATCCATTGTACGTTGTCGACAGACGCATTGAGACTTCAGTTATGAAGCTCCATGTGGGTCACGTGAAAGCAGTATATTGATGATGTGTGGTTGGTAAAATTTTAATATATGGTGGGTAGGTCACGTGGAGGGGGCACATTAGCAATGTGAGGTGGGTAGGCAGCATAACATCGTTTCATGCGGTATTGCTCTCGGCAAATGAATTTTCACGATTTTTATCAGAGGCAGGATAAATTCTCATATACATTTCGTTTAATTCCTCCATATTCACCTTCACTGTTACTTTTTTTATGAGAGAATGGTAGAAAATATTCGACTTATTTTTCAGTCAGGGGTGATACTGAAATCAGTCATTTTTGAAAATGATGATTTTCAGTCATTAAATTGATTTTTAATAATGATGGAAATTCATCTTTTTTTAGTAAAATGATGAAAAACAGTCATTTCTATTTTGAAATTTATTTTAGAAATAGAGTTATCTCTGATATTAAAAATGACAGTTTTTCATCATTTTTTATCAAATTGTTAGGTCTGGGCGCACTTAATTATCTCAATAGTTTTACGGGGCGCACTAAATTATTTTGGTTTCAATTACTTGTCAAGATGTTTTTCTACACATGAGTCTATGGCAGGATAGTGTACTATATCTAATTGTTATACCTTTTGAAATTTGTTCTTATACAATTCTATACGAAAAAAGTCTAACATTTTTAATGTTTTGCTGAGCGGGCATAAAAAATCGATGTTGGACCGCTGAGTGAGATATTGGACCGCTCGGAGAGATGTTGGACCGCTTACGTCACAGAGTGGGCGGAGCTTAATCTCATTTTCATTCGCTGGTGTTAAACAGTGATAGATCTGGTGTTACATCACGGAATAAAGTACAAAATACGTGTAAATAAAAAAATAAATAAAATAAAATGAAAGGTATAACAAAACATTTATTGACAGAGTTCTCGGGCAAAATGCGTTTTGTCGAACCCTCGAACCAAGCTGTCTGCCTTCGGTTTGGTTCTTGGGTCCGACAAAACGCATGTTGCCCTCGAACTCAGTCAATAAATGTATATTACTGTAGTAAATGGGATGGTAAAATTAACTTGAGAATGGAAATATGATGAAAAGACGTCATATTTACAAAAATCAGAAAATTGTGTACATTATATACTTAGAAGAAATGACCATTATCCATCATTTTCAAAAATGACTGATTTCAGTACCACCCCTGACTGTTTTTATATATCTTATATATGATATGTAACATGCGAAATTTAGTTTGATATTATATTCTCATGATCTTTAGCTGCATGTGTTGGCTATCTAATGTACCGTTTTTTTTTATTATATCTTTCGAAGGAACTAACATGTAACTCTTTATTTTAAACCTCAACTGCACTCCACCCCTAAAAGGTATTTCAAATTCCAAAAGAATATTCTTTGGAATCTTCGGAAATGCTGCACTTCCATTCAATTTTAAGGCTTCAGTAGTTTTTCAGAAATTAATGTGTTTCTTGTTTTATTTGGACTGTGGGAAAAATGGAACTAAAACAATTTAAAGAATTTATTTACCACAATCTTAGATATTTCCATACGTGTGTGTGAATCTTTGCTTGAGAGTGTGTAGGCCGAGGGGGGGGGTGGGGGGGGGGGTGTTAAAGGGACACAACCTTGGAACCCCTCCTTTCAAAAATGGCTGGATCCGCCCCTGAGTACCTGGCCATAAGTCTGTCATAAAATGGCTGACGTAACGTAACGTGAACAACGTGAACGCAAAATTCAAAAATAAATTTTTTTTTATAAATATTAAGCACTTACCTTTTTATCTCTAGTATTTAGTTGCATGACCCTTAGATTTAATAACTTGTCGAATTCGCCTTGGAATTGAAGCATACAGACTCTGAATGTTGTGCTGAGGCAAGGACCACTATATTTCCTTTACTTTCAAGATGAGGTCTTCACGATTATGAATATTGTGTACTTGTCTCTGAAGACGTATTTTTATGGTTCTCCACACGTTTTCAATTACATTGATATCTGGAAATTGTGATGGCCAAATAAGACATTTAATATCGTTTTCAGTTTTCCATGATTTTGTGGCGTTAGAGGAGTGGACCGGTGCATTATCATCCTGAAATAGTCATCATTCGGGAAATGGTGCAAAATAACTGGCCATAAATTTGTATCCAAAATGTTAATGTATTTTTGGGAATTAATATTCCCATCTACCTCTGTAAATGTTCCGATTCCTTCGTGAGTAATACACCCCCAAAACATCGCCATGACACTCTGGTCGCCATACTTCGTCGGGTCTTCTCCAGCTGTAAACGCGCTTATTCTGGTCAATCACAACCTGGCTTTCGTCGCTGAAAATCACCTTTTTCCAATTATTATTCACTGTCCAATGTAATTTCCCTCGACACCAATTTACACGGCGGGTGCGGTTTACAGATCGAATTGTAAGGGTCTTCCTGGTTTTCCTTCTTGTAAAGTTTAAAAATCGCAAACGTCTTCTTACCGTCCGTGAAGAGATAGAACTTGGTAACTTCGAGTTCACTTCATCAGTTATTTCACCCAAAGTTTGCCGTCTGTTGAGTTTCACACATCGAAGTATCTTACGATCTCCTCGTACATCAGTTTTTCTAGGTCGACCGCTTCTATGCTTATTTTCGCTGGATTCGCGCGTCTTGTATCGCTTGAGAAACTTGGAAATCCCAGACTGGCTCACAGAAAGAATAGCTGCTACGTCCTGTTGGGTGTATCCACTCTCAGACATAGTTATTATCGCATTTTTCATAGGGTTAGACATTTGTTTACCTTTAGTAGCCATCTTGTCAGTTGCTAAATATTTGACAGATATTGCGTCACTTTTATAAAATGACATCATAGAATTATTGTATACACTCTATAGGAAAGGAACTATTCAACAGCAGCTTGCATAGAGCGATTTGTTATTATGTTATTGTTACAATACAATTGCAACAATATTAGTATGTTTTTGCAAACTTTTATGTAAAAGTATAATATAATATTCGTAATTTACTTCAAATTATTAATTTTCAATGTTTTATGATATATTAATTAAAGTCCTTTTGGGTCCTTCTGAGTTCCTTTTTGGTAATTTACCAAAATTGTGAAATTCATGGCCCTGGGGTGAGGGGTTCTAGTGCTAGGGCAGGGCTAAATAAGTATATAGTGAAAAATTAATGCATTATTTCTTTGGAAATCTTCTCTGCTCCCGGGTATTAAATGAACCAACTAAGTACATAGTTATGATGAGCAAGAGTGCCTCTACCAAAATTGTGAATTTTATGGCCCTAGGGTCAGATGGTTTGTTTATATATAGTGAAAATACATGATTTCTTTGAAAATCTTCTTCTATGCCCCTGGGTATTAAATATACTAACTAATGGCATAGTTATGATGAGCATGAGTGCCTCTACCAAAATTGTGAAATTTATGGCCCCAGGGTCAGGGATTCTGGTGTTATATACTGAAAATGAACTTATTGTTTGAAATCTGCTCTTTTGTATTTATAAAAACATTTATTTATTTTTTGATATTTAATAAGGGTACCTTTTTGAATTTTGTGCAATGTGTGGACCTAGGGTCAGGGGTTTATGACACAGTGTTAGGGGCACTAGTGGTTTGTTGGAATGCATTTTTGTTCCCCTACCCTGCATATGGGTATTCAGTAACCAAGCTAAGCAACTGCTAAGTGTATTGTTATGATGATCAATGGTGCCTCTTTCAAAATTGTGAATGTCATATAGCATCTGGCTTAAAACATGAATCAAATTCAATAACTGGAAAATTGTTGCATAATGCTCAGGTGACCTATAAGGCCTGTGGGCCTCTTGTTTTTTTTTATCTTCTCTTTAGGATCTAGTTAACTTTAATGGCTCAAAACTGATGAAATAACTAATCACTAAACATCCATGTGTTGCATCACTTAATTTTATAGCTCAGTGATACGATCAATGTTGATCATGTCTAGATTTACAGAAGTTCGGCAAGGAAACAATTCAAACAAATATTTATTTCTTTCTGAAACCTCAATTTTTTTTTATTCATGGATACATAATTGGGAAAAAAGATTCAAAATTGGGAAAATATGGCTGATTTGTTTATTTGGAATGTGATGGTAAACATACCCAAAAACAAGCCAGGAAAATCACTGTTTAATCAAAATCACTGATTCTTCCTCTGAAAATGGAGAATGCCGTCTTCATTTTTAGAATATTCCAGGTCACTAAAAGGCTTTTAAATCGGCACTTCATTTTGAGAAAAATCAAACACTAAGTTAACCTCAATTCAAATCATTATGTAATTCGTACCTGTATTCTTCAACTTGTATGCAGTACTTTCGGTTAATTTTGTTCTTTTTGAGGTATGAAGAGACCCATGAATTGATGTCCCCCACAAAATGTAAAATAAGAAATACATTACTACTGAACAATTTTTCATGTACAAATCCAAATCTGTATGAGCTAAGAATTTTTACTCAAACCACGAAAATTTGATCTCATTAAAATATGTTATTTAGAATTTACAGTTTATAATAGATATGTGTTTTTTTTTTTTTTAGAATATTGCAAATTAATTATTTTTTTGCTTTTTTGCAGGTTAACTAAAGCAATAATTAGTTTATGATGTCAGAGCTACATAACATGACATCAGAGTTTCCCTATACTGAAATCAGCAGATTTGATACTGAGTCCACTAGTGAGTAAAATTATTGAAACAATAAAATGCTTTGTTTGTTTGTTATTACTGGAATTAACGGAAGCAGCTGTAACAGTTGCAGAAAATTTTTTTCTGCAATAGCTGTGACCGTTAATTCCAGTACAGTCAATTCTCGAATTATCGCCATTGATTCAACGCCATTTTGGCAATACCACCATGATTTCCCAAGAACATATTTCCTACTTTATAAAATTCTCTTTATAACGCCAAAGAACAAAGTACGTTATTGGTTGATATTCGCCGAACCTTGAACTAAATTGAGGTTTATTGCACTCCAAAGTTGAGAACTTTATCTTTCTAACAATATATAACTTGTTTATATCTAATTACATGTAACACATTGCAAATTATGATAAAAAGTTGTGTTTAAGCGGTAGTAACGTCGGTTCCGACGTTCATTTTGCTAGGTGACGTCAATAACGTACATGTCTCTCTTGCGTCATACAAAGCTCCTATATGTATTAAAACGACGTGCGATTGTCTGTAAAATAGAAATCAATCCATTCAAAGATATTTTAAGAATTTCATTTGCAATTAAGTTTACATTTTATCATTTGGGCCATGGCAGATATTGAGGTAGGAATGACAGTATTTTACATGAATATATAATGCATAGCGAATCATCCGACTGCCTGCATAGGACACAAAACAACTACCCATGATTTTAGTTTTTTTTCCAGGAGTTCGAGCCACCTCAAATATTTTATTAGATACACCGTTACATGCCTATATGTGAACATCCTGTATATTTTTTAAACTTTAAGGTTATGGAAAGCGGAGAATAATAAATGATGGTAGCCATAATACTTGAAATTAATCTAAACCTGTCATAGAGATAATTTTTTTCAGAGATAATAATAATTAAAAAAAACAAAACAAAACAAACAAACAAAAAACAACAGAATTTCTGGAACAATTGACATTCATTTTTTCCGTCGGACTAAGTCCGATTGTATCCTTTAAATATTTATCGAAATAATTATAAATTGGAAATGACGGATGGACCGTCTTGACGATGTTGCACGTGTTGTTGATGAATCTTGGTACTCTAACCAGTATTTGATTTAGCGACACTAAACAGAATTTACCCGTGACACATATGTTATATTCATTTTTTAATTATAATACTAAGTATATTTGTAAAGTTTTCCGTATAATTACTTTTTTAAAATTTTTTTCCAAAAACAAATTAATACTATGCACACGATGCTGCAAGGTCAATCTTGCACACACGTAAATTATTTGCATGAAATAAAACTTTCAGGCAATTAATGGAGCACAGTGGGAATAAACGCCCATTCTATATTGTGAGCGGGCCCGTGGTACTGCCCCCCCCCTCCCCTTCTTTTTTTCGGAGACTAGCTTTCTGCTGTTGATTTGCAATGTAGTGTGGATTTTATAAAATTCAAAACCTGTTCCTCATGACCTTTTTTGTGTCGCATTACAAGCACCCCCCCCCCTTTTCCAACGTTTAAGACGCAATTGAAATCTGTCTTATTGAAAAATGGCAGTTGTATTACACAGGCGGCATACTGCGCAATGCTCAAATGTTTTGAACCTGAGGACACTCCTTATATTTACATAATATAAAAACACTGGTTTCGTGTGTGTTCCCTTTTTTACCTTGGAAATAAAAATGGACACAAAAACCATCTTTTGCTACTGTACATGGTTTTTACGGTTTTCGGTATATTTAAAGCTCAGAAGTGATTTTTCCCCTAGATATTAGAAAAATGAAGCCCGGTAGAAACTATGGGGAATAAATTGTTTTCAAACTGAAATTGTCACTGTGCTTTTCTATTTGTGAGCAAAGACGAAAAATAATCTTAGAAATGGGGATATTAAATCATTAGAGAGCTTTATTTACTCGAATACTGTTTACGTGTACGTGTAAAAACTTTAGGCGTTTATTTAATACTTAATCATATCTTTAAAATTAAGATATTTTATATATCTTTTTAAAATTCAAATAATGAATCAAAGAATTTAATTCTGGTAATCAGGGCATTCCCCTCAGACACTTGCTTTGTATATAGAACATCCCCTTCTTTCTCTTTCAACGAGTTATATCTACCGGTAGATCAGTTTCAGACACCCTTCGCTTCAATAAGGTTGAATTTTTTATCAATCATTGTTCTTCTTTAAAAAGTTCGCATTGACAGAAAATTTTCTCCTTTTGTGATAAATCGTTTCAGACTTCCGTTGTCGAGTTTCTTTCTTGTAAACTATCTATGTACAGCCACGTAGCATCGCTTTTGAAAGTTGGGGGGGGGGGGGGCAGCCAGAGAAAAAAAATACTTACCTGAAAAAAAAATTGACTAAAAGAAAAAAGAAAAAGAAGTTGCCCAAAGCCGAAAATCCGGGGTGGTTGTGGTGGGGGGGGGGGGGAGGGAGGGGGGGTAGAGGTGTAGAAGCCAATTTTTTTTCAATGCAGATTTCCTTCAGTATCAATTTCATTTACCTATACAATACTACATTTTCCTTATATCACAAACCCCTCCCCCCCTTTGCTACGTGCCTGATGTATTCCTCAAATATTACCTCAAGGAATAGCCTAGAGAAAATCTCATTTTGTGGGAAAGGGGGTGGTATGAGAAGTGACTTTCCTTATTCAATTTTCTTCTGAATCAAATTCATGGCTTTTTACCTTGTTACCTTGTTACTATAGGAATCCGTGTTTCACATGAAGATGGGGTGTTTTCCTATGTGATTTTTTTTTATTTTGGAAAGATACTTTATAATGCTGAAAATGCAACCTGAGGGGGGGGGGGGGGGGACTCCGAGCCCCCTCAAGATTCAAGCATTATGATGCGGGGAGGTAAACGTTTAATTACATGACTGTATAAAGTTGATCGCTGATATATTTTACACTCTAGGCATTTGAACAAAACCGGTATTACAGAATATTTGGCATAAATTAAGATAAACTTGTATGCACAGTGCTCATATTGTCAACAAAACTACTGCTACATAACGAAAATTTCCATTTTCCGCTATATTATTTTTTCAATAAGACTATTGCCGACTACAAATCATTACCGCTACATATGTCCCAGCCAGCAATGACACTGTAAATATATCTAATCATAATGTTTCGTTATAATGATAATAAAGTTTTTTGTAGCTTTTAATTGCCCTTCTATAATATGTCCTGTTTCGTAGATCAAACAAAACTTCGAAAAAAAAAAGAGCTTCTTAAGGGGCACAATTACTCGGTTAGGATAGCAATTTCATGTATAATATCGTGAATTTATTGATTAAGTAGACATATTTATCTTGTTTATTTTTTAGTTGTAATTAATGACTGCCAGGTATTCTCTAGTATGAATTGTGCAAAGTACAGTAATTAATTGAGTGTGATAATTACTTGTTGTTTTTTTTCGAGTAAACATTCGGGGAATAAACAGGTAAATAAGGTTAGAAAAATTCGGAACACATATATTGAGGAAAAAGTATAACGCTATATAACGCTATATACATGTACGTACATTCTGAACCATGCAATCAATGAAATTCCCGACACTAGAATGGTTCATTCTTATTTTAAATGGATTTTATAAACTTGAAAGATAATTAAAAACATATGTGGATTTTATCTTGTATGATATTGTTTGTGTTCACATGTTAAAACAACTGTTGAAATAATTCGTTTCCTACCTTATTACTGTGAAAAATCAGCGTAAAATAATGAATGCTAATGTTGCATAATTTTGATTTCCGGACTTACTATTTTTAAAAAATGAATACTGTTCCCACTCATTAACCGACACGAATTTAACACTGGACGGAGATTTTTAACCAATTATTTTATACACAAAAAATAAAAGTGGTTAATGCTTGGGAACATATTCAATTTCATCAACATTTACTGATTTTTCACTAAATTGAACGGTATTTACTGAGCAACCACAGTTTGGTGTGGTATTATGACGTCACTGTAACATATTACGTCAATTTTATATAATTTGATTTTAGCTTTGATCTTATTGTAAACGAAACATAAGGGACTTGCATAAATAATGGTGGTTTAAAAATAGTAAAATTTCTCGGCCGCAGATAGCCAATAACGTACTTTATTCTTTGCATACTGACGTCGGCCATCCTGTTTTCACAACAAACAACCCTTTTTAAGTGTCAATTATCTCGATATACCATCACAGGTGCGTGTGGTCAGTGAAGCATGGCTAATTGGTTGACACTATCCCTGTTGATAAGCATGCAAAGCCAGGCAAGGTACATGCAATTAAGTAATTAAACAAAAAATAAATCAACAATAATTTTAACTTGAACTGTTATAATAATTTTGCTTTCTGTTTAATAAAAATCATTTAGCATGTTTAGTCACAGCTTCGACACGAAAGCGGTAGATGTTAAAGTACGCCGATAACGATATTATTTTCATGATTTTGATGATCTCTGCTTTAAACAATGCAGAGTTTAAATTTGCTGAAAAAATAATTATACAATATAAATTGTGAATGCATCATTAACAATGAATTTATTCAAGAATTCATTTTACCTACTATCAGCAATACATGTATATCATGACGTTTGACCTGGCTTGTTTTTTTTTTTTCAATACATGTATCAGACATGCAGATTTACATGCAATACACGTGTACTTGTCTTTATTTCATAACTGCACATTTTGTTTTGGTGAAATTGTACATTTGAAAAAAAAAATACTTGAAATATTTTCAATCAGAAATATGTTTTATATATATGTATATGTAATAATAAGAATAGAAATGCTAAATGGTATTTCTAAGAACAGTAACTCTTCTAATGTTTTCTAAATTATGGAAATTCAATTCATTGCCAAATTCGTTATACCGCCATGATTTCTAAATTACAAAAGGTGGCGATTTATTGAGAATTAACTGTAATAACAAACAAAGAAAGACATTTTATTGTTAATATTTATATCATTCTGTTTTAATATTAATTATTGTGATAATGATGCGAATGTCTTAATATGTTTCATTGATAGAACAGCCACTGATCAAGAAATCCGTAAAGGTGATATGTCTAATGTAGTTCATGCAGTGATAAATGCAATGCGTTTTCTTAAGAAATAAAGGAGAAAATATTCAGTGGATGTAATCATATGTAAATAAAGATACTTCTAATACTGTTGAACACAAATATATTTAATACCAATACCTTTTTAAAATTGTAAATGTTAATTGTTAGGCATTCCCAAGCCCAGTTATGTTTTTAGCTCTACTGGTCAGAGAACAGAACATTAGCTTATGTGATAGTAAGTTGTCCATTGTCTGTCTTTCTAACTGCCCATCTGTCCATCTGTCTGTAAATGATTTTTGAGTGTTACTCTTCCTGAAGTTTTAGTATGATTCCATTATAACTTGGCACACAAATAGACCACACTAAAATAAAAACTTGCATTAAAATATAAAGGAAATTTTGTGAAAAATCTTTCTGAAAAACTGAAATTTATGTAATGTGCAAGCATCATGGGATAGTGTTGTTGTTTAATCATTCAAATCATGACCCCCAGGGGGTTGGGTTGTTCCCCAATGGAGAATGAAATTTTTACATTAGATATAAGTAAAAATCTTTTCAAGAACCACTGGACCTAAAAAGCTGAAACTTGTTTGGAAACATCCTGGGATAGTTTATATTCTAAATTGCCTAAATCATGACCCCTGGGGTATGGTGGGGTCATAATAGGTATTACAAGGGGGAAAATTTGGTAAAGTACAACATAGCCAAAGTTACTCAGGTGGTCGATACAGCCCATGGGCCTTTTGTTCCAACATCTGAAAATCTATGATTACTTCTATTAACAACATGCAGACATTTTTAGGTAGTGCAGATTAAAGTTTATATAATTCATAGCATCCATGCTTTGGATTAGGCCAAACAATGTTACAGGTATAGACTTATAACACTAAAAGGACCTTGGTCAAACATATACTAAATCCTACATGACACTATATGTACTTGAAGCTGCTAGACTCTCCAATATTCCCCTAGAACTGGTACCCTTCAGCATGATCAGTGACAGGATTGATTCAATTAAGGGCATTCTTACAGTTAACAATAGACATACTTTTTTTTCCACGGGGTCATATTCCACATAATCTCAATTTCTGTGTAACTAATGGGTTTATTACACAGATTTCCTAGACAACATAAAAAGCGTAAAATAATACAATGCAAAAAAAGTACTTCTACAATATTTTAATAGCCATACTTACTTGCATCAAATATCTGCAATGTACTTGGACGCCTATGATAATTATCGGACATTTAAAACATAAGAGATATGTTTGAGCACTGGATGGAACTCTTTTTACAAAAAGAACTTAAAGCATTGTTACAGTTCATTTTATTAGCCATATTATCTAAATCAACTATTTGCATCATCCCTGGACCCCTATGATTGTTATTGGACATTTAAAACATAAGAGTTATCTCCCTCAACCTAGAACTCTTCAGTTTACATGTTTGAGCGCCTGACAGATTTCATTTCACAAAAGAAGTTGTAGCATTCTAACACATTACTTGTCTTGTCTTGTAGTAAAGATTGAGCCACTTGGGATACCTGACTCTGTGGAGAAGGAGGAAAACCAACAGCTTGTAATAGTGAAGGTAAAGATTATTTTTTTCTGAATTGAAATGGTGGAAATGATTTCCAAGAGTTTCCATTATTTAATGTATCTGTTGTTTTTATTGCAAAGCTTTGATCAATTTTTTGCAGGAAGCAAGTTGAGATACATACTATCAACAAAGACTTGAATACTGTATTTAATTTACTTCGATAACCTGACACATTTTCATTGTAATTGAAATGAATTTAAATTTTGAAGGACTGGTATGATTACAATGATCCTCACTCATGTTACTTAGACTAAATTTGCATCGATTCTATGGAAAGAACAGCACACTACCAGAACAGCTGTATGATCAAAGATCTTGGTTTCAGACTATTAAAGATGCTAGCCATTTTTGTCTGTCATCATCTGTCATGCGCTAACATTTGAACATTTTCTGCTTTCTGAAACCACTGAACCAATTTCAACCAAATTTAGCATATTACATCTTAGGGTGAAGTGAACAAAAATTTGGAATTTCATGGTCTTTGTTTCCCTGGGAGTGGAACAAAAACCACTAAAATTATTCCAACTTTTAGAAATCTTCATTTACACCTGGACATCAGTCAAACGGTTGGCATGCTTGTATTTAGCATTCTGTCCTCTATCAATTTTTTGAAATTCATGGCCCCAGGGTCAGGGGTTCTAGTGCTAGGGTGGGGTTAAATAGGTTATATAGTGAAAATACATTATTTCTTTGAAATTCTTCTTTTCTGCTCATGCGCATTGAATAATAATAATAACTAACCAAGTGCATAGTTGAGTTGAAAATGACTGCCTCTTTCAAAATTGAGATTTTCATGGCCCCTGTGTCAGGGGTTCTAGTGCTATGACTGGGCTATATAGATTATATACAGTAAAACTCGTTTAGGACAAACACAGATATAGCGAATTCACGGAAACAGTGAAGTTCTTTTGGTTCCCCGCAACATTTTAAACAAATCATTGTAAAATTTTACAGTTGTAATGAACTCTGATATAACGAATTTACAGATATAGCGATCTGATTTTGAGTCCGTTTGAGGTTTGATATAGTGAAATCTACATTTTTTTTAACGAACTTTCAAAGATCTTAAAATTTGATAAAATGAATTGACTTTATATTCGTTTAGTATATGAAAATAAAAATTCAATTCAAAACAAAACCTTTGTTATCGAAGGTATGTGTTTGTAATGTTTGCTTTCCTAACATATTTGGTAGAAAAATTTGAAGGGAAAAAAGTCGTGCAAATTGTGAATTTGCTTTATATGGTTATACAAATTTGTTATAGGGATACAACAAATGATGGATATAGCAATTAAGTATTAAATTCACTGGTCCCTAGGACTTCGTTATAACCAAGTTTAACTGTAGTAAAACATGAATTTTCTTTGAAAATCTTCTTCTCTTCTCCTGAGCATTAAATAAACCAACTAGTACCTATTGTGAATATAATGGCCCCATGGGTTGGGGTTCTGGTGTTAGGTGGGGCTTTTTAGCCGGGCTCATTTCTCGTAGAGAAATGCCCAGCTATTGCGACGGTGAGCAATAGAAAATGCTGCTTCTTCATCTCCAAATTAAATTTACGAGTTAGAATATAGTACGTCTGCGCATTCACCTTTGAGGCAATACAAACACTGAATTATTTTCATAGTTATCTGAAATTGTCAAAAATATTTATTACTAGTATCATAAAATACCTTATATCGTTTTCGATGATTAATCATTTGGTTAAAATATGCGAATGGTTTTCATCAGGTATCCCTGTCTGCGTCATATTCTATTAATAAAGGGTCTACTATCAGGCTTATACAAATGCGGGGAACACCATTAATGACTTGATGTATGCTTTGATGCAAAACTCCCCGCTGAGGACCCATCTGTGCATAATTGTTTGACCTTAAGTTATCTTCCTGCATCAGCGTTTATTTACTTCTGTTGGTATGTAAAACCCTGAAATGATACATGTGACAAATATTTTACGCTGTTAAATTCTAGCCACATTTTAATCAATTTTAAAGCTTTTGAATGCTATATATGAAATATATAGATATATAATCATCTTTTCAATGTTTTTAAACTGTTCATTTGTTCATTACCCTGTAAATGAGCCCGGCTTTCAGTACTTCTGAGTACTTTGATTTTATTATATTGTGAAAATGCATATTATTATTAAATTCTTTAAAAACATCTTTTTTGCACCTGGGTATTTAATCATTGATTTATAAACATAGTTACAAATAGGAAGGATGTCAGGGCTTCTTGTGTAAGGGCGGGGCTCTATAATGTTTACATAGTGAAAATGCATGAATTCTATGAAAAATCTTTTAATTTGTTCCTGGGTATTATGGCAATGATCTCAGTATATATTTATGTCAAAGAAAGCTGCTTCTTCCAAAATTTTTTAATTTTTTGGCCCCTGGGACAGAGGTACAGTACCGACCGGACACAACCTAACAGAAAGCGAACCTGGAGCGGACCCCGGGTTCGCTCTCTGGGTCCGCTCCGGGTTCGCTTGGGGTCCACTAGGGCTGACCCCGAGTGAACCCTGAGCGGACCCCAAGTGAACCCGTAGCGGACCCCGAGCGAACCCGAAGCGGACCCAGAGAGCGAACCCCAAATTCAGTAGCGGTCCCAGGGAGCGAACGCGGGTACGGTATTTCTTTACAGAGCTGTCAATCAGGATTAGCGATTAACCAATCAGCGCATCAACCAATCAAAATAGCATATGATCTGTCGATTGGGATATAAGATTGAACGTGTTGATTTAATTCGATATAAATCCAAATGCGCACTGAACATACAAGCAAAACGTGTGAATGTGCTGTGTAAATCTACTATGATAATTAAAATATTATTTAATATTTATTTATTTTAATTCTTCGGATTGTATTTTATATTTCTTTTCTTTTTTTATTAATTCAATTAATTGATTATATGTTTGAATTTTTACGTAGAATTTTCTATAAATATTTACGTTTTTATTTTCTTTAGTTTTTTATACCAGTATTTAAAGTCCATTTGGTAAATAAATTTGGTAAATACATCAGCCAATGCATAAAAATTGAAATCAATTGATATTACAATTTTTACTGACAAAAAAAGAGAAAAGAAATATTAAGGAAAGAAATCCGGACTGCTACATGCATGAAATACTTCTGGTTTATCGGGGTACACTTAGGTGGAGTTTGATTTCAATAATTGAACGAATTAATTACGCAAATTAATCACGTCATTTAGTAAATCGTACATTGTTTCATTCTCTCAAACTCAAAATCTGGCGTAACTATACTTGACAAAGAATAATCAGAGAAATGTAATATAAAAGGGATATTTTAACATATGAATATGATCTATTATAAATTTGAAATGTTTAAGGACTAAGTATTGGGAAAAAATAATTCAGGCGTAAGCAGTACATAGTTATGTGGGTTGTTCAAGAGTTGGTACATTTTGTAACGCAAACTAACTGTCGAGTTACACTTAAGGTAAGGTTTGCGTTAACAGGGAGATAACTCTTGCGAATCACCAAAGCGTTTGAAACAGGCGACTTTAAACCAGCGATGCTAAGCATCTCGGTAACGAATTTCCTCTGTCATACTTGATGTTTGTTGTCACTTATTGTTAGGACTAAAACAAAGGACGTTTTAAGGAGAAAGTCTTATAACAAATCAAAGCATATGAATCTTAAAAGCCTTTGAGATTAGCGTGATGCATGTGGATGAACCAATAAAGGAGGACTTGTTTATTTTCGATACGGAATGTGGCAAGTTGTAGGCCATTCCGATCAGAAGAAAGTCATCGACGCATTGCTGTTGTGTGTTTCTCGCTTCAACACTACACTAAAATTTTAAGTGAGAATGGGAAGGAAAAAAGAACAGACCTGAGAGTATCCTGTAAAGTATTATGCTTTATGCAGTCCGAACAGGGAAGAAAAGTCACGGTGCATTTGACCATGTCCAATGATGATGTCGACAGTTTGATTGTTGATAGTATTTTCATCAGGTAATTATTTAACTATTCATTTTACTGAAAGTTATGAATGATCTTCTGACTACAGATTTAAAAACGATGAATAAACGGTACAAGGATGTCGGATGTGGCTAATATCCCAACATTGCCAAAAAATAAAAATGCATTCATTCAAGAAATTATGAAAAAAATCCGTGCTTTTCAGGCCTAATATTTGTAACATTATTGGAACAGGTATTCAATTGTTCAAGTTACCTTTTAAATGAGGTTTGATTTTAATTAATATCTCATTTTTTAATTAATACAAATTGTGCATGACAAGAACATTAATTTTCTTGATCAAGCATTTGCATTTCATTAATTCAATCTAAAGTATAAATTGTACAATAATTTCATATTGATTTTTCATTGATTTTATTGGAAATTTAATTTCATTGAGTGAATGAAATTCAGTCCAATTCCTTATGCAATTCCTTAAATGTTATTGTAAAAATGAACACATATGATTTCAGATCAATTGGGTCATTAATTGGAATAGATAAGAACAAAAAAAAGTACTTCAGTGTTTCCTTAAAAGATTTGTGCCATTAATCAAAGTAGAGGTCATCCCATATCAGCTCAAGAATATTAAAGAAAGTTGGATGGATCAAGCTAAGATGTTGAACCAGACATGGCAAAGTCAATGGAGATTTGGAAAAAGAAATGATGATTTGTTGTACCCAATGCATATTTTTTATATGTCTATAGATTATAGAAAAAAATTTAATGTTTAACAGCATCCTATCTACCTGGTAGTATATACATGCTGTTTTCAATATATTTAGAAAATATGTGTATGTGATGATTGCAGTGCATGCTCTGTTTGTCCATCTTTGAATTTGTTTTCAGTAAAATAAATGTATACATTAAGGTATTAATTGAAGCTTGCTTTTGTCTACACTTACAAGTAACAAGTTTCTTAAAAGGGTTATTTTGTAAAATTGCAAGGAAATTAATACATGAACAATTAAATTTAATATTTTTATTCATTAAATTTTGTTCTTACCAGGACCTAATATGCTCAAATAAGTATTTCTGAAAACTGATGAGTTTTGTAAATAAAGCTGCAGTGAACATTTAACAGTTTAAAATATGACACTTGGAAATTGAAAGGTTGTTAATTTAGTAGGAATGATAAGACCAGTTTAGTAATCAACTAAAATTAAAATCTTTCACAAATAATGTAGTTTATTTTAAAATTGTTTACATTTAAAATCTTTTATTTTTTTTCTGTATTTTGATTTTAAAAAGGAGAAAATTTTTTTATATTTAAATTATTATTTCATGGATATCAAGGAGATATATCTATCACTGTAACATTGTTTCTTTTTCCCTGTTCTTGACAAATATTTATGACAGTGTTATGTCATTTTGCAGAATTTGCCTTTTCTCTGAAATCAGAAGTACTCTGTAAACTCATTAAAGTATGAATTGATGTCACTTAGAATTCATCTTTATTTTGTTCTGTCTGATATTTCAATTTAGATTCTCAGACTACCTAATCCAATGATTGAGCTAATGTCCATGAAGTGTAGAAATAGGCCATCTTTAAGATATGTTTGGTTGTCGGGCCTCTCCAGACCGACTGACTAAAATGACCAGACTGAATTTTTTTTTTCAATGCAGGGCCGTATTTTTTCTTTTTATTCCTCTTATTCCCCGTAAAGAAATGTTGTTGAAGATTTTCTCACCTACCGACCTAATAATTTTACCCAGAGTCAAGAGAGGGCAAACAAACATTACTTTCAAGATAGCATTTCTACTCTTTGAAGTAAAGAAATCATTTAATTATAAAAACAGCAGCTTCGTGGATGCAATGCTTACAACATTTCATTCAAAAGATGGCATACATGTATAATGATAGTCACGAGACATAACTGAATAAAGATATTTTGCTACGAAGATGTCTAGAAATTACTACATGTTGGAATAACTAAATCAGCATGAGGTCAAATTCAGAGGCTTTTAATTGGGTTAGTTGCAACATGTTCTGAAGTATGTTTATAAACATATACATGTACTTCTAAAGGTGTTGCAGTATAATTCATGGACAATTTCATCAGAATATTCAGATGTAAAGATTGCCATAAATACTAGATTTCTTTCATGGAATAAATTTTTAGACCATCTTGTAGCACAGGAGGAGTTTTATTTTGAATATTTTTGGCAAAGTTTTGCTTAAAAACAATATCAAAAATACATTTAGTCTTTAACATTCACCATGACAAGGTGATATCAATGTTGTCTTTATAAGTGTAGAAAAAGCCTGATTTTTGTGTTCCGAACCCATAATATAGCCCCTGTTTCCATGGAAATAATATTGGGGACATACATATTTTTTTGGTTCAAATTATTTAAAATGATCAAATTAATAACTACATGGAATTTGATGGAATCGGTAGATATGTAAAACGTTGATTTTTAAATTTTTGTTGCCATGGCAACGGTTTCACTTTATCAAGGAAAATTGAAAAATCTTCTTTTTTACCCAATTTTTCACATTTTTGATAACGGAAAATTAATAGTTTAAATAATAGAAGCATGAATTATACTAATTCAGGTCATTTTAATTATAAAAGTTTGATAATTAATAAAATAAATCAATTTTTTCAATGAAAATAATATTCGAGGTGAAATATGAAATACGTTAAATTTGGCGTCTTTTACTAAAAAAATGGGACGGGCAATATCTTTGAAAATCATATTAAATGATGAAGCTAATCTCCCTGAATAAATTGATATATGGCATGTGTGCATATTAAAAAAAATAAAAGTTGGAGGGAGACGCAAACCTTACCTTAATTGAAAGAATAATCTTGTTAAGTATCACCAGGAATTGGGTCTAATTCACGTTCATTCTGATGAAGTCATTCAGTTTGTTATTACCATTAGGACGGGATGACTTCATCTGTACATCCAGAAGGAAGATTTTCATATACACGCATTAAGATTAAGAAGATCAACAATTTTGATGTAAATCTTGAATAATTTAGCGTAATACGTAACTTGAGAAATCATAAATAGAATTATTAAATAATTAGATTTTTTTAAAGGCCATGTGTGTGTGAAATAGTGTCATATATTGATATATTCTTGTCGGGTCGGGAGAACAGTTATTATTTGCCTTTTTCTTTATTCTGATAAAAATCATACTCGCTCCAAAATTCGGTGCAAATTTTTTTTTAGAAAATGTCCGGTAAATATTTATTACGAACTTTTAATGTGTACCTACTATAAATGAAATCTACATTATGTAAATATATCAGATGTACAAAAGGTAACATGTAATATATAGACGATTTAGCAAAACGTAAGGAATAACAAATGTATTTTTAAACTATATAAAGCATGAATTCAAAAGGTATTTAATTTAGATTTCTTTCATCAGTTTCTCTTGTACACCATTCGATACACTGAAAATCAATTCAACACTCTTGTCTTCCTCTTTTTCTTGTTTTCTCAGTATAACATAAGAAAAATAAATGCCTTATAACTCGCTGTTAATTTAGTTTGAATTTTTCGGGATCGAGAAATCAAGGAAATCAATTTTTCATGTACATTTAAATCTACGTCGAATGTACAGTTGAATCTTAGAAAATTAATTAATGTTCTCCATTATATCACTGTTTACATGTATATAGTGTACATGTCCGCATCGTCGCATGAACAACAATGATCAATCCACAATACCATTACTGTATTGGAATATACAAGGGGCGGGGCTTAGTGGCGGTGAGATTAAAGCAGGGTCCGCTTCACGCATCAGTGCGTAAAGCGGTCCCAGAAAGTGAACGCCGGGTTCGCTCTAGCGGACCCAGAGCTGACCCCGAGCGAACGCGGAGCGAACCCAAAGCGCACCCGGAGCGGTCCCAAAATTTCTGAAAGCGAACCCGAAGCGGACCCCGAGCGAACCCAGGAAGCGAACCCCGGGTCCGCTCCGGGTTCGCTCTGGTGTTAGGTTGTGTCCTGTCGGTACTGTACTACATGCATGTGTAGAAGGGGTAGTCTGCATAGCCTGATTGATTGATTGTATACTGCTTAATGTCCCACTCCAGAATATTTCACTGATATGGAGACGTCACCATTGCCGGTGAAGGGCTGCAAATTAAGGCCTATGCTTAGCACTTATGGCCTTGAGCAGGGAGGGATCTTTATAGTGCCACACCTGCTATGAAACGGGGCCTCGGTTTATACGGTCTCATCCGAAGGACCGCCCCATTTAGTCCCCTTTTACGACAAGCAAGGGGGTATTGAGGATCTTTTCTAACCTGGATCCCCACAGGGCTACATAGTGTGAAAATGATTTAATTCTTTGATACAGTGGACTTTCAGATATCCTGACGCCAGATATCTGGATGCTTCAGTACCCAGATGATTTTTCATCTGTACGGAATTTTTAAATGTTATATTGTCTTTTTAACTGGTGATTCAGGTATCCGGACACTTGACATATATATCTGGACAAATTGACTGGGAACCAAAGCGTCCAGATAATGAGGCTCCACTGTATATGCAATTTGGTATTGATAAAAAACATGATGAAATCAAATTTATAAGTTATAAAATTTAAAAGATGTTACCCGAAAATGTATTTTCTCTTTGATACTCTGTACCTCTGGGTATTAAGTAACCAAAGTGAGCAAAGTGATCCAGTGTGTAATTACATGTATGAAAAGCAATGGTGCCTCTTTCAAAAGTGTGAATTTCATGGCATCCGGTTTAAAACATGAATCAAATTCAATTTTTGGAAAGTTGTTGCATTAAACATGTCCAGCACAATACCCCGATAAAGGTATATAGCTTGATAAAGCTATATAGCTTTATCAAGGTATTTAAAATACCTTGATCAAGGTATTTTATGTAATGAAAATTCAAAATAATTCTTTAAAAATTAATTACTGAAAGTCGAGTTCTGAGTTTTTGACAATGTGTCTATGCGTGCATGAAAAACACTCTGGTATCAAAAAGAAAGCATAAAATAATGTCTCCTCTTACGACACGTTTTTATACTGATTTGTTTGTGTTTGAGTACTTTACATGCATGGGTGAATTTACTGACAACAACTCAGAACTCGACTTTCAGTAATTAATTTTTAAAGAATTTTTTTGAATTTTCATTACATAAAATACCTTGATCAAGGTATTTTAAATACCTTGATAAAGCTATATAGCTTTATCAAGCTATATACCTTTATCGGGGTATTGTGCTGGACCTGTTAAACTCAGGTGACTTATACTAGACCCATGGGCCTTTTGTTCAGTTTTGGGAGAGAAAAAAAAAAATGAAATGTGAAAAAAAAAAATATTCAAGCTGTGTTTCATGAAAAATGTTTTTAAATCGAAAAATTCCAATTGAGTTGTACATCAAAAGAGAAGACATGGAATTTCATATTGTAAAAGATAGTATTGACATATAATATGTTTAATGTGGTTTTGTATTAGTTCACATCTAAAAATATTGTTGGAAAAAATAAATCAATGTTCTTGACAAGACCCATGAGCAATTTTCACCTCTTGGCCATCGAGTTTGACCAAGTTTTGGAAATTTTAAAAACTTTTGAATGCATGTATAATATAGTCTTTGTGTATGTTATTTATCATACAGTGAAAATAGTGCCATGTTGAGCATTTAAACTGATTTTTTGGTGAATGTTGCAGAAGGAAGGGGGGCAGTTTGAATCCGATCAGAGAAATACTGAAAATTTGAAGAACTGCTGTTCAGAAGAAAATGTTGAAGGACTTATCTCTACAAGTGTAAGTACTAAGCCTGGTTTATTTAACAGTTGGGAAGATTCAACAAATCAATTACAGAGACATACTGGGGCACAAAGCGGGGATGAAATTTTAAAGTGTGAATTGTGTGGGAAGGCATTCTCTGTATCTCTTTCTCTGACACAAAATGGTAAAGAACCTGATATTTGTGACGATTGTGAAAAGACATTCAACCAATCAGGCACCTTTCAAAAAAATAAGAGGGCACATACTGGTAATATAAGCTATAAATGTGATGTGTGTGAAAAACGCTTCAAACGATTTTATCCCTTGAAGATACATATAAGGATACACACAGGTTATAACCCTTATAATTGTGGTTTGTGTGGGAAAAATTTCATGGAATTAGCAGTTTTAAAGAAACACATGAACACACATACAGGTGATAAACCGTATAAATGTGGTATTTGTGAAAAGGCATTCATAGAATTAGCAGTTTTAAAGAAACACATGCGGACACATATGGGAAATAAACCTCATAAATGTGATGATTGTGGGAAGGCATTCACACAGTCAGGTTCCTTGAAGAGGCACAGGAGGACACACACAGGTGATAAACCTTATAAATGTGATGTATGTGGAAAGGAATTCAGTCAGTCAGGTGACTTACAGAAACACATGAGGATACATACAGGTGATAAACCATTCAAATGTGATGTATGTCAGAAGACATTCACCCATTCACAATGCTTACTGAGTCACATGAGGACACATACAGGTGATAAACCTTATAAATGTGATGTTTGTGGGAAGGTGTTCACACAGTCAGGTTCTTTGAAGAGACACATGAGGACACACACAGGTGATAAACCTCATAAATGTGATGTTTGTGGAAAGGCATTCATACAGTCAAATGACTTAAAGAAACACATGAATACACATACAGGAAATAAACTTCATACTTGTGATGTTTGAGGAAAGTCATTTTCTGAATTAAGCAACTTAAAGGCCCACCTTATGGTACATACAGGGGATAAACCTTATAAATGTGATGTATGTGGGAAGGCATTTATACATTCAAGTGGCTTAAAGAAACACAGGAGGATACATATAGGTGATAAACCATTCAAATGTGATGCATGTCAGAAGACATACACCAAGTCACAATGCTTACAGAATCACATAAGGACACATACAGGGGATAAACCTTATAAATGTGATGTTTGTGGGAAGACATTTTACCTCTCACAAAGCTTACAGAGACACATGAGGACACATACAGGTGATAAACCTTATAAATGTGATATTTGTGGGAAAGCATTCAACCTCTCACATCACTTACAATTACACATGAGGACACATACTGGTGATAAACCTTATAACTGTGATGTATGTGGAAAGGCATTCAGTCGTTCACCCGACTTAAAGAGACACATGAGGATACATACTGGTGATAAACCTTTCAAATGTGATGCAAGTCCGAAGGTTTTCACCCAGTGACAGACCTTAGAGAGACACCTGAGCCTTATTAATATGATGTTTGTGAAAAGGCTTTTATTCGAGTAATATACAGGAACACTTGAGGACACATACAGGTGATAAATTAAATAAGTGTGATCTGTGTGGACAAGCATTCAACTGGGAAGGAAAAGTTCAGATACACATAAGAACATATACTGATGAAAAACCTTATAAATTTGACATGTGTCGGAGGAATTTAAGCCGTCTGAGGACTTGCAGAGCATGTGAAGAGACAAACAAGTGATAAACCTTATATTAAAACTTGTTATGTGCGAAAGGTCTTATTCTGATGTTAATACTTTAAAGGACCATAGACAATGCATACCGGTGAAAAACCTTACAAATGTAATGTACGTGGACATGTTTTCAGCAGAGCATATAAAAAAACAAATAAACACATGTATTTGTAAAAAATATAGGATGGCATAAAGTCTTTAAGAACGACATTAAGATGCACAGCAGTGATGCATAGGTCAATTTAAAGTTTCCTGAAATCATGTTCATCAGACAATATATACACAGAGATAGATAACACATATATTTTCCACTAATTTATAATCATGACAGTAAAATCATGAGAAAGGAATTTTCTATGAACATTATTTTTTAATATGGTATCAAATGTACAATTGAGGAATAAAATGATGCATTGTAAGGTATCCATCCTATCTACTCATCTGATTAGTGTATGGTCAATTTTATCAGCCAAATTACTACATGTATAAGGGAAGTAACTCCACCATTTGAAATATAATTCAACACATTTTGAAGAAAACTTGATATTTTTCTGGTGATGTCAAAATCTGTTCAATATAATTGATATATTTTGTAAATTTGATTGATGATTCTAATAAATATACGAGGGTTGTTCGAAAAGTTCGTGGACGATGTCAATCCTCTTTATATTACTCACTAGAAATTTAAAATAAGCACATTGTAATATGTAAAAATATTTCTTTTGTTGATGTGTAAAGTTTCATTTCATTCGATTTAACAGAAATCAATTTACTTCATTTTAAAATCAATATGTTTTGTACCCGCGGAGCACACTTAACGGCAATGTAACGTCAAAACATAGCGTCGAGAATTTCTAAAAATTACTATCCCTATACATTTCACACAGTATAATACAAAGTCCATTCATTAAATCCCTTTTCTAAACCCTACTTGACATTTCCTTTTCAACGAGAGCTCTCGTTGTATAATTCCTTTGTTAAGGTTTTAATTTCTTTTATAACTTAACTCTGCTTTCACAGGATAAGCAATTCTATTGCGCCTATGTCTTTTCTTGACGATCCAACTTTTTAAAGTTTTGTTCAGATTTTGCAGTTAAACCGTTTCTTCACAGATCATCCTCATCCGATACAGAGTCTCTGTCACTCAAAGACTGCCTGTACTATATGTACACGTATGCACAACTTGTTTGTGACATATTTTCTTCATTCCTCCAACATTTTTAGAGTTTATTCGGAATTTTTCCTAAGTGAATCGCAAAAATTGCATCGTTATCGGCTGCTCCGTGACGTTCTGAAACGACATCGTTTTTGTCGTTTTCAATAAGGACTACCTATCTTCTAAATTTGATTTCTTTTCAACAAAGCAAAATATAAAAACCATAATTTGGTACCGAATCGCTGAAACAATTCTTTCTTTGAATTTCTAGATTGCTTTTCGTTTTTGCTCCCTTTACGGAGAAAATGACTACAGACATTATTCAGAGCATTGTTTGTAACTTACTAAATTTTGACCTGCTCCGCGGTCTGATTTTTGCATTTTTAAAATCTGCATAAGTTTGGAATAAATAGAAATATTTTGAAAAAAATTAATACGAATTATTTGGATTTATTGTTAAAATATTTCTACCTAAATTGGATAACATATGACGTCAAATAAAAAAGATATGAGAGTTGTCCACGAACTTTTCGAACAACCCTCGTAAATGAAGAAATGAATGAATATAAGGTGTAAATTTCACAATACAAATATTTATGTATGCTGAATTTTATTTTTATAACTCTTATATTTTGGTTGAATTAAACACCAAGACTTTTATGTTTTTGATTTCCAAAATAAATTGTACTGTACGATTGTTATTTTTTAAGGCCCATCTGAACCAAAGGACAAGTGCACTTAAGCAATGCTTTTCATGTGCCATTTTACTTATGTAAACAATATATTATCAAATCGTTTTCTTTTGGTAATAGTTAGAAATTAGTGGATATTTCGAATTAAAACACATATACATGTGAAGCATCACCTAAAGCAGCGTGGATTTGAAACAATTAAATGATTTTAAATGCCCATGGATTCCCTAAATCTGGAAAAGTCGAACCGAATCTTCTTCGACCTTCGTTTATGTAAATCAAAGGGAATAGATATTTCAATAGACTCTTGAACAATCTAATCTGATGGTGGATCATACACGGGCGTGTTTGTGGAATGTTACGTTTTGTACCAAATTTGTTATAAAAAATTGAATGAAGTTGCGTGATCTTGGAGTTATAATGATCAAACTAAGAAATTGGTACTCTTTCACTAAAAAAATAGAAATATAGTTTCATTGAATTTGAAATAAAAAAGGAGTGTTTAGGTGGCTTTCAATGCTATAAAAAAAACATTGTACGTTTTTTACATTTTTGATATTTTAACTACCAGCCTAATTGTATGCAAATTTCCTACCTTCACACAAGTTTTATCAATGTATTATGCATCTTTTGTCACTAGCACAAGTTTGTACAAAGTTAGGCTCATAGTAAACAAAAGCTTTGAAATGATTGACCATACTCGATTTACTATAATAGAAAATCACAAATGTCGGCTGACCCCTGGAATATTCAATGGTTTTGTTCTTTGTATATTCGTGGATTTCAGGGGTAAAATTTCTTGAGTCGTACGGTTTAGATATCAATTAATGATTTGGGATGAAAAAGTTATTGGATTGTTTATTTTTTCACGTTTAGCCATGGCCCACAAGGGAAATCAGTCTTTGTCCATTATCTGTCATCGTCTGTTTGCGTCAGTGTCCTGTGCACATTTTCATATTCTCCTCAAAAACGACAGGGTCCATTTCAACCAAATTTGCCACGGATTATCCCTACGTGGAGGGGATTCAAGTTTGTTCAAATGAAGGAACAGACCTTCTTCCAAGAGGAGATAACAATTCATGCATTTAAGATTTAATTTGTTCAAATCATGACCCGTTGGGAACTACCCGATAGGTGGAGGCCACAAAGGGGATTTTTTTTACAGTACATGTATCTTTCTAAACATGCTAAAGAACGGGAAAGTTTTATGTTATGTTGATATGAATCCTCAAGTAATGTAAAATTCAAGCCTCTTGGCCATGGTTTTTGACAAAGATTTTGAAATTAAAAAAAAAATCTTGAATTCATGTATCATTTAGTCTTTATGTGTGTAATTTATCCTACAGTAAAAATATTAATAGTACCATGTTGAGCATTAAAACTGATTTCTTTGGTCAATCTTACAGATGGAAAGGGGAGAGTTTGAATCCGATCAGAGAAATACTGAAAATTTGAAGAACTGCTGTTCAGAAGAAAATGAGACAAGAGATGAAGAAAAACAAATCAATGCAAGTGTAAGTACTAAGCCTGGTTTATTTAACAGTAGGGAAGATTCAACAGATCAATTACAGAGGCAAACTGGGACACAAAGCGGGGATCAATTACAGAGGCAAACTGGGACACTAAGCGGGGATCAATTACAGAGGCAAACTGGGGCACAAAGCGGGGATAAAATTTTAAAGTGTGAATTATGTGGGAAGGCCTTCACTGCATTAAAAGAAATAAAAAGCTACCCGTGGACACAACCTGGTGAAGAACTTGACATTTGTGATGATTGTGAAAAAACTTTCAACCAATCAGGTGCCTTACACAAAAATAAGAGGACACATGCCTTGAATACACATAAATGTGATTTGTGTGAAAAACACTTCAAACGATTTTATACCTTGAAGATACATATAAGGATACATACAGGTTATAAACCTTATAAATGTGGTTTGTGTAAGAAAAATTTCATGGAATCGGCAGTTTTAAAAAAACACATGAAGACACATACAAGTGATAAACCTTATAAATGTGGTGTTTGTAAAAAGGCTTTCATAGAATTTACAGTTTTGAAGAGACACATGCGGACACATACAGGAAATAAACCTCATAAATGTGACGTTTGTGGAAAGTCTTTTTCTGAATCAAGCAACTTAAAGACCCACCTTATGATACATACAGGTGATAAACCTTATAAATGTGATGTGTGTGGAAAGACATTCCGCTGGTCATGTAAGTTACTAACACATATGAGGACACATACAGGTGATAAACCTTATAAATGTGATGTGTGTGGGAAGGCATTCACCCAGTCATCACGCTTACAGACTCACATGAGGACACATACTGGTGATAAACCTTTTCAATGTGAAGTATGTGAAAAGGCATTCATTCGAGTTGATAATTTACAGGAACACATGAGGACACATACAGGTGATAAATTGTATAAGTGCGATATATGTGGAAAGGCTTTCAACTGGGCAGGAAAACTACAGATACACATGAGGACACATCCTGGTGAAAAACTTTATAAATGTGACAAGTGTAGGAAGGCATTCAAGCTGTCTGAGGACTTACAGAAACACATGAAGAGACATACAAGTGATAAACCTTATTAATGTTATCTGTGTGCGAAAGGTCTTTCTCTGATGTTAATACTTTAAAAGACTATATGATGATACATACAGGTGAAAAACCTTACAAATGTAATGTATGTGGTCATGCATTCAGCAGAGTATATATAAAGAAACACTTATGGACACAATCAGGTGATAGCATAAAGTGTAGAAAATATGGGATGGCATAAAGTCTTTAAGAACGACATGAAGATGCACAAAAGTGATACATATGTCAATTTAAAGTTTCCTGAAATCAGGTTCATCAGACAATATATTGACAGAGAAAGATAACACATATTCAACTATTTTATGACATTAAAAACCTGAAAAAAGGAATTTTCTATGAACACTATTTTTATGCCCCCCTTCGATGAAGGGAGGGCATATTGCTTTGCTGCTGTCTGTTGGTATGTCGGTCCATTTAGTTTACGTTCATTTTCTTCACAATTACTGCACGTACTGAAATAAAATTTAGTATACAGGTATATCAGATAAATATTTAGGTCAAGTTCTGTTTTGGGTAAGATTGCACCATAATTGACAGAGTTATGCCCCTTGGACTTAAGAAAAATTCCAATTTTTTGCAGTTTCTGTTCATTTTCTTTACAACCATTGCACATACTAAAATGAAATTTGGTATACAAGTATAGCATATGAATATCTAGAACAGGTTTTGTTTTGGGTATGATTGCACCATTTTTGACAGAGTTATGCCCCTTGGACTTACAAAAAATCCTATTATTTGCAGTTTCTATTCATTTTCTTTGAAGAGGTTGCACATATTGAAATGGAATTTAGTATACAGATTATTCAGATGAATATCTAAGTCAAGTTCTGTTTTTGGTATGATGGCAGCATAATTGACAAAATTATGCCCCTTGGACTTGCAAAAATTCCTATTATTTGCAAATTCCGTTCATTTTCTTTGAAAAGGTTGCACATATTGAAATGGAATTTAGTATACAGATTAATCAGACGAATATATAGGCCAAGTTCTGTTTTGGGTACAATCGCACAATAATTGACAGTTTTGCCCCTTGGACTTACAAAAATTCCAATTTTTTGCAGTTTCCATTCATTTTGTTTAGAGAGGTTGCACATATTGAAATGGAATTTAGTATACAGATTAGTCAGATAAATATCTAGGTCAAGTTCGGTTTTGGGTATGATCACACCATTTTTGACATAGTTATGCCCCTTGGACTTAGAAAAATTCCAATTTGTTGGGGAGGGGGGCATAAATTTTTTACAAACATCTCTTAGACTAGTTAATATGGTATCAAAGGTACAATTGAAATAAATGATGCATGGTAAGGTATACATCCCAGCACTACTGGACGAAAAAAGTGCTGAGAATCCCAAATTTTACTGATAATGTTTGATAATTACTGATACGGTGCTGTTCTTGCTGATAATTACTGATATTTACTGTTATTCTTACTGTTGTTGCTGATAATTTTAGTTGTTGCTGATAAATACTGATAATTACTGTCGTCTTTTACTGTGGAGTCTGATAAATACTGATAAATACTGTTGAGGTACTGTCGTTGCTGAGAATTGCTGATAATTACTGTTGAGGTACTGTCGATGCTGAGATTTACTGATAATTACTGTGGTCATTGTTTTTAACCTGGTAATTGGTTTTAAATAAAACAGAGGGCTATAAAAACCTTCAATTATTACTCTCTTTTACTTGAATTATCATGACAAAATTTTCATATTTCTTTAAATGTTCTGCTTGTGACAAATTACATGACTGCATGTATGTATGTATGCTGATCTCAATTTCTACATTACGTTTGTGAAAATTTTGACAATAATCAAATGAATTATTAATAGAATGAATATATAGAAATAGAATTAATAAAAAAAATTAACTGCAGAAAAAAAAATGGAATTTTACTTTTGCATAAGATCTTCTTGAAAAATAAACTGTAAATAAAAAGAAAATAATGCCATCTTAAAAAAGATCCATCGCCGCCTTTCCGACTCCAAGAAAATTTTGTAGGGAGATCGGTGATATTTTTTTTTTCAATAATAAGAAAAAAAGTTCTTAATGGATGGAAAAAAAATCGGGATAAAAAAAGTTTCCTGCAGGTAAGAAAAGTTGGATTTGTTCCGTTTCCACTTGGTCAACTGGTCGAGTTTGGACAACATTTTGTTTTTGAAGGCCTTTTTTCTCGAAAACAATTATATTTATCTTGTTAAATGTTCATTTTTCTGGTCTCTTTTTGTCGAAATATTTGAAAATTTGCTCAAAAATTAGAAATTTTATCCCTTTTAAAAAATAACTAAGAGGTGAAAACAGGTTTGAATATGTTCAATCTGTGGGCACTGATTTTAATTAATAATTTATTTATTTATTCATTTATTTGAATGTTATGTAGACATTTGTAGATCGTCCAAGAATTAAACTCCTCCACATGTACATATGTACAAGTGCACACCGTATGTGCCACCGGCAAATGGGGCGAGCTGATTAAAAATTAGAGGTTAAGTATCCCTAGTGCAAAGGTACATGTGTTTAGTTTGTCTCTTAAAATTTAAATACAAAATCATTTTTTATTTAATCAGTTTTGAAATCTCATTAATTTTTTTTTGTTTGATTTTATGGAATGGGAAATAAGAACTGAAGTGAGACTTAATTTAATATGTTACTATTAGTATATGATCAAATTGATCGATTTAAATTTTGCATGGTAAAAAGTTGAAAGGAAAACACCTTTAAATTGATTTCAATTGATAAGAAATCGGTGATCGACCTGTGATGGTTTGTTCCCATCTCTTTCCGACCATTTCACAGTTAAGGCGAAATGGGAACACACCCCTGTGATTTGGCTGTATTGTGTACATGTCTTTAGTCCCGGGGTAGAACGGGGTACAACTTGTATATTCCATGCAAATTGTAGTGGTCAGCGTAACAATGGGCACTAATTACCTATTGTTCTTCGTCTGCGGCTATCGGTGTTATCAATAAACAAACTACCTACACTGTACATGTACTCGCTACTTTGGAACAATCTTAAAGTTTATGGTCGCACGAAAAAAAAATTCCGTAATATTGAATTTGATGACGAATAAAATTGATAGAAAATATATTTAGAATAGAACACTTTGGTACTATAATAAAAAAAAAATATAAATAAATGTACATGTACATCATGTACGTTGTACAGACTTATTTTAATTATTATTTCAATTCTCAAAGATCTATCTTTCTTCAGTATTTAATTTCATTTTTTAGTTTTACGCATATTTCTTCAATCAATCAATCAATCATTTATTTGAATCTTTTTACCATTTTACATTAGTATACATAGACCACAAAAACATATAAAATGTGGTGATTTTATACATAACAGTAGGTCTAAAAGGCATGCGTGAATAAGAAACTAAACAAAAAAATTTTTGTAGGTTGCTATAAATGCGAAGTAAGGGAATATAGACCGGGGAGTATATTTTGTTTATCAGATAAAAGAATATCCCGGGGGAGGTGGTCGCATGTATTTTCAATTCTGAATCTCTGCTAACGATGGTTTCGGACCGGTAAATACGTAGACGAGAAATTGACTTCACTTTTTAATAAAAAAAAAAGTGTGCAAAATATACAATCATATAGATATAAAGAGAAAGATTGTTTAGTGAAGCACTTTTTTGAAATAATATTAGCATTAATTGTTCACAATTCAGATGCAGGGAAACTCCACTTCGCTTAATCTGAGAAAAAAAAACCTTAATAAATGTTTGGATTTTGAATGTCAGAAACATGACGTTGTGTATCGCACTCATGAATAAATGTTATAATTACTTCAGTTCTGAATTTTGTATGGTTCATTGCAATTGATTCTCTAAAATAATTTTATTCATGCATATAAAAAATTCGATAAGTATAATATCATAACTTGCATGACTTTTAAAACACACAACTAAAGAACAGACCTTGCCCTATCGGCTATCACTTAATTGTAAACGGTATTTCACCAACTCCTTTTTGTGCTACAATCAAGTAAAATCATATAAATAAGCACCAAGTCTGTACTGTTCGTTTATACAAAGGTCTCAGACAAAAATGGAATTTAATAAAAAAATGATAATCTCTGCACAAAATTCTAATTATACAAAAACGCAAGCCGTAACGATATCCCTATGGCAGAATGTACTAATAATTGATCCGATTCTAAAACGAAAGTAGAACTTTTACACGTGGTTGACATGTATGTTCCAGAACAACAAGCACAAAGTTTGCATTAATGGAAAAAGTTTATTCAAGTTATGATTTATTAGGGCCCCGCAAGGATTTGCGGGTGCCCTATAGTAATCACTCTGTCTGTCCGTCTGTCTGTCTTCCGTCCACAAATTTTCTGTTTTTTTCCTAATAACTTTTTTTATAGTTGCCCAATCAAGTTCAAATTTGGTATGGTAGTTCAGTATGCAGAAATACATATTTTGATGCTAAGTTTGGTTCTCGATGTCTTCTGGTTTGGAGCTGGGGTGGTGGGGTAGATTCCTTAACTATGCATAAGAATGAATGGGCAACTTTTTTTTTATGGTTGCCCAATCAAGTTCAAATTTGGTATGGTAGTTCAGTAGGCAGAAATACATATATTGATGCTAAGTTTGGTTCTCTGTGTCCCCTGGTTTGGAGCTGGGGTGGTGGGGTAGATTCCTTAACTTTAGAATGCATTGGCAAAGAGAGATAACTGCTGAAGATGTTCCCATTGTAAAATGAATGCTGGCTATGAGTCTCTTGGGATTAATTAGGTTTCCTCCTGAAGAAAATCCAGAGCATTATCTTTATCTGTCAGATAGAGATGAATTACCACCTCTGTCTGCAAATGAAGTTTGTTTTGAAGTTAAGTCAATTTGGAATGCTATGAACACTGTGAAATGTGGATTTATATATAAATTTTTATAATTTATTTTTGTTTAATATAGTTATGATTTCATTGAATTCTAAAAACAAGAGATAGATTAAAGAAGATTTTTTTGAATTACTTTTTTCACTTTATGTTAATTAATTTTTAAGGTAGTTTTATAAAAACCCCATTCTATCATTAATACTGAAAAAGTTCTTATTGTAACTTTAGAAGAAAATGATGAGAGAGGCACAATTAATCCTTTGGGATCAATTATCTAGCCTGTTGCAGAAAATTTAGTAGGCTTTTCTTTATCTTTAAGATTAATGAAAACAAGCCTTCATGATATTTGCATTCATTGAAGGCTGGCATTCTATACAACACAAGCTTCATAATTGTTTAATACATTCAATGTTAAATTGTTCTTTACTGCCTAATGTAAATACAAGGATATTATTTTCAGGTTTTTGAATATTCAGGAATTATCTTGAAATTTTAAGAATACAGTTGCTGTTGCTTATTCTTCGTACATTTTTTAATTATTCCGTTATCTGCACCCTTTTAATTCTACCCCATGGCGGGGCCCTTGCTGACTGGTCAGTTTTCTAGATTTATCTTGTTTTTTAACTGACTGACCGCATATAACATGTTTAAGGATTGGCGCCATATGCCCATAGACTTAAAACTGTATACAATGAAAAAAGAATTAGCCTAAAGAAAGACGTGTATTTCATTGACTGAAAATCTCACTGCATAAGATTTATGTCATGTAGTATACAATACTTAAGCCTTAACAAATAATTTAAAGAGAGAGAGAGAGAGAGAGAGAGAGAGAGAGAGAGAGAAGAGTGAAAGAGAGAGAGAGAGCTAGAAAGCGACACAATGATATATCGCAGGGAGAACATCGGAGAACTAGAGCGCGATGTCTACATAATACATAAAAAAAATAATTAAAGATGCTTCAATTTAATTATTTAACCCTGTCACATTCTTCTCTAAAATAACAAAGTGTACGCTTCAAGACTACTGTCTTGTTAAATTGAGAGCTTAATTTAAAAGTAAATGGAAAAGGGGGGGGGGATGTTTTCAACTTAATGTGTTCATGCATTTTCAGTTCTCCACACGGTAAAATAAATTGATATTTACAACCATTGAGTGTATTGAAGTATTGAAGATACCCACAAAAAACTTTTGATGACAGTACACATACATGTGAGAAAAAATATGAGATGAGATTTTTTTAACCTTTATGAACAAAAATTAAACTTTTTAAAAAAGTATTTGGGAAGAAAAACCACTGCAAATACAACAGAATAATTTTCCTCAGATAATGTCATCTACGTGTAAGGAGAAATTTAAAGAAAAAACATAAACATTTATGAAAGCTTATGTTATCATTGTGGTCTAAAAATAATTATGATGAAATTAATAGCTGTAAACTGAAAACAAATTAATAAAATGTGACTTTTTTATTTAGAATAAATTTTGTAATTGACTGTAATGAATTTGATAAAATACTTTAAAAAAAAAAAAAAACAAATAATCATTTCTCAGGCTATTTTCATCCATTCCCAGGTTAAAAACAATGACCACAGTAATTATCAGTAAATCTCAGCATCGACAGTACCTCAACAGTAATAATCAGCAATTCTCAGCAGCGACAGTACCTCAACAGTATTTATCAGTATTTATCAGACTCCACAGTAAAAGACGACAGTAATTATCAGTATTTATCAGCAACAACTAAAATTATCAGCAACAACAGTAATAATAACAGTAAATATCAATAATTATCAGCAAGAACAGCACCGTATCAGTAATTATCAAACATTATCAGTAAAATTTGGGATTCACAGCACTTTTTTCGTCCAGTAGTGCAGATACTCATTTGATGAGTATATGGTCAATTTGATCACCCAAATTACTACATGTATAAAGGAAGTAACTCTACCACTTGAAATATAATTCAAGAAAACTTTTTTCTGGTGATGTCCAAAATCTGTACAATATAATTGATATATTTGGTTAATTTGATTGATGATACTTATAAACATAAATAAAGAAATGAATAGATAAAAGGTATAAGTTTCATAATATTATATTTCTGAATGCTGAATTTTATTTTTATTTTTATACCTCTTATTTTTTGATTTAATTAAACACAAAGACTTTTATGTGTTTGATTCCCAAAATAAAATTGTATGTTCGATTGTTAATTTTTTTAAAGCTCAACTGAATCAAATTGTCCTTTTGTCTGTCGCTGTCATCATTGTTTGCGTCATTGTCATGTGCACATTTTCATATTCTCCTCGAAAACTACAGGGCCCATTTCAACCAAATTTGCCACAGATTATCCCTACATGAAGGGGATTCAATGGTTCAATTGAAGGAACAGACCTTCCAAGGGGAGTTAATAATTCATGCATTTAATATTTAATTTGTTCCAATCATGATCCCTTGGGAACTATCCGGTAGGGAGGGGTCCCAATGGGGAATTTTTTTTTGGCCATGAATTTCAACCAAGTTTTTGAAATTTAAAAAAAATTCCTGAACGCATGTATAATTTAGTCTTTGTGTGTTATTTATCCTACAGTGAAAATTGTGCCGTGTTGAGCATTAAAACTGATTTTTGGTCAATGTTGCAGAAGGAAAGGGGGCAGTTTGAATCCAGTCGGGGAAATACTGAAAATTTGAAGAGCTGCTGTTCAGAAGAAAATGAGATAAGAGATGAAGAAAAACAAATCAATGCAAGTGTAAGTACTAAGCCTGGTTTATTTAACAGTAAAGAAGATTCCACTCACTCAGATCAATTACAGAGGCAAACTGGGGCACAGAACGGGGATAAAATTTCGAAATGTGAATTTTGTGGGAAGGCTTTCAGTGTATCTCTGTTTCTGACACAAACTGGTGAAGATCCTGATATCTGTGATGATTGTGAAAAGACATTTAACCAATCAGGCACCTTACACAATAATAAGAAGACACATACTGGTAATATACGCTATAAATGTGATGTGTGTGAAAAACCCTTTGAACGATTTTATTCTTTGAAGATACATATAAGGATACACACAGGTTATGAACCTTATAAATGTGGTGAGTGTGGGAAAACTTTTATGGTATTTACAGTTTTAAAGAGGCACATGAAGACGCATACGGGAAATAAGCTTCATCAATGCGATGCCTGTGGAAAGTCATTTTTTGAATCAAACAACTTAAAGAGCCACCTTATGACACATACAGGTGATAAACCTTATAAATGTGATGTGTGTGGAAAGGCATTCAGTCGGTCACCTGACTTGAAGAGACACATGAGGATACATACTGGTGATAAACCTTTCAAATGTGATGTATGTCAGAAGGCATTCACCCTGTCGCAGACCTTACAGAATCACATGAGGACACATACTGGTGATAAACCTTTCAAATGTGATATATGTCAGAAGGCATTCATCCAGTCACCAAACTTACAGAGTCACATGAGGACACATACTGGTGATAAACCTTTCAAATGTGATGTATGTCAGAAGGCATTCACCCAGATACAACACTTACAGAATCACATGAGGACACACACTGGTGATAAACCTTTCAAGTGTGATGTATGTCAGAAGGCATTCACCCAGTCACACCACTTTCAGAAACACATGAGGACACATACTGGTGATAAACCTTACAAATGTGAAATATGTGAGAAGGCATTCATCCAGAAACAATACCTACAGAGCCACATGAAGACACATACTGGTGATAGGCCTTATGTTAAGTCTGTGAAAAGGCGTTTCACCGAATAGATAATTTACAGGAACACAGGTTTGAGGAGGACACATGCTGGTATAAATCTTATAAATGTGATCTATGTGGATAGGTATTCAACAGTGCAGGAAAACTACAGATACACATTAGAACACATACTGGTGAAAAAACCTTATAATAAATGCGAAGTGTTGGAAGGCATTCAAGAGGTCCAATGACTTACAGAATCACATAAGGAGACATATAGGTCATAAACCTTATATTAAAATGCGATGTTAATACTTGAAAGGACCCTATAACAATAGAGACAGTTGAAAAACCTTACAAATGTGATGTGTGTGGACATTCATTCAGTGGATCATATAGATAAAAGAAACACATGAAGACACGTACAGGTGATATCATATACACATGATATGGTGTAGAAAATGTAGGATGGAATAAAGTATTTCAGAACGACATTAAGGTACACAACAGTGATACATATGTCAATTTGAAGTTTCCCGAAATCAGGTTCATCAGACAATATATTGACAGAGAAAGATAACACATATTCAACTATTTTATGACATTAAAAACCTGAAAAAAGGAATTTTCTATGAACATTATTTTTACGCCCCCTTCGATGAAGGGAGGGCATGTTGCTTTGCTGCTGTCTGTGGGTATGTCAGTCCATTTAGTTTACGTTCATTTTCTTCACAATTGCTGCACGTACTGAAATAAAATTTAGTATACAGGTATATCAGATAAATATTTAGGTCAAGTTCTGTTTTGGGTAAGATTGCACCATAATTGACAGAGTTATGCCCCTTGGACTTGGAAAAATTCCAATTTTTTGCAGTTTCTGTTCATTTTCTTTACAACCATTGCACATACTAAAATGAAATTTGGTATACAAGTATAGCATATGAATATCTAGATCAGGTTTTGTTTTGGGTATGATCGCACCATTTTTGACAGAGTTATGCCCCTTGGACTTACAAAAAATCCTATTATTTGCAGTTTCTATTCATTTTCTTTGAAGAGGTTGCACATATTGAAATGAATTTAGTATACAGATTATTCAGATGAATATCTAAGTCAAGTTCTATTTTTGGTATGATGGCATCATAATTGACAAAATTATGCCCCTTGGACTTGCAAAAATTCCTATTATTTGCAAATTCCGTTCATTTTCTTTGAAGAGATTGCACATATTGAAATGGAATTTAGTATACAGATTAATCAGACGAATATATAGGCCAAGTTCTGTTTTTGGTACAATCGCACAATAATTGACAGTTTTGCCCCTTGGACTTACAAAAATTCCAATTTTTTGCAGTTTCCATTCATTTTGTTTAGAGAGGTTGCACATATTGAAATAGAATTTAGTATACAGATTAGTCAGATAAATATCTAGGTTTTGGGTATGATCACAGCATTTTTTACAGAGTTATGCCCCTTGGACTTAGAAAAATTCCAATTTGTTGGGGAGGGGGGCATAAGTGTTTTACAAACATCTCTTGTTAATATGGTATCAAATGTACAATTGAAATAAATGATGCATAAATTATACATCCCATATACTCATTTGATGAGTATATGGTCAATTTGATCACCCAAATTACTACATATATAAAGGAAGTAACTCCACCATTTCAAATATAATTCAAGAAAACTTGATATTTTTCTGGTGATGTCCAAATCTGTACAATATAATTGATATATTTGGTTAATTTGATTGATGATACTAATTAACATAAATGAAGAAATGAATAAATAAAAGATGTAAATTTCATAATACAAGTATTTCTGAATGCTGAATTTTATTATTATTTTTGTTTTTATACCTCTTATTTTTTGGTTGAATTAAACACAAAGACTTTTATGTCTTTGAGTCCCAAAATAAAAATTGTATGTTCGATTGTTATTTTTTTAAAGCTCAACTGAATCAAATGTGTCCTTTTGTCTGTCGCTGTCATCATTGTTTGCGTCATTGTCGTGTGCACATTTTCATATTCTCCTCGAAAACTACAGGGCCCATTTCAACCAAATTTGCCACAGATTATCCCTACATGAAGGGGATTTAATTGTTCAGTTGAAGGAACAGACCTTCTTCCAAGGGGAGATAATAATTCATGCATTTAATATTTAATTTGTTCCAATTATGATCCCTTGGTAACTACCCGATGGGGAGGGGTCCCAATGGGGATTTTTTTTTACAGTATCTTTCTAAAGAACAGGAAAGTTTTATGTTATGTTGATATGAATCCTCAAGTAGTGTAAAAATCAAGCCTGTTGGCCATGAATTTCAACCAAGTTTTTGAAATTAAAAAAAATCCTGAATGCATGTATAATTTAATCTTTGTGTGTTATTTATCCTACAGTGAAAATAGTGCCGTGTAGAGCACTAAAACTGATTTTTGGTCAATGTTGCAGAAGGAAAAGGGGAAGTTTGAATCCAATCAGAGAAATACTGAAAATTTGAAGAGCTGCTGTTCAGAAGAAAATGAGACAAGAGATGAAGAAAAACAAATCAATGCAAGTGTAAGTTCTCAGCCTGGTTTATTTAACAGTAAGGAAGATTTCACTCACTCAGATCAATTACAAAGGCAAACGGGGGCACAGAACGGGAATAAAATTTCGAAATGTGAATTTTGTGGGAAGGCCTTCGGTGTATCTCTGTTTCGGACACAAACTGGTGAAGATCCTGATATCTGTGATGATTGTGAAAAGACATTTAACCAATCAGGCACCTTGCACAATGATAAGAGGACACATACTGGTAATATACGCTATAAATGTGATGTGTGTGAAAAACCCTTCGAACGATTTTATTCTTTGAAGATACATATAAGGATACACACAGGTTATGAACCTTATAAATGTGGTGTGTGTGGAAAAACTTTTATGGTATTTACAGTTTTAAAGAGGCACATGAAGACGCATACAGGAAATAAACCTCATCAATGCGATGCCTGTGGAAAGTCATTTTCTGAATCAAATAACTTAAAGGCCCATCTTATGACACATACAGGTGCTAAACCTTATAAATGTGATGTGTGTGGAAAGGCATTCAGTCGGTCACCTGACTTGAAGAGACACATGAGGATACATACTGGTGATAAACCTTTCAAATGTGATGTATGTCAGAAGGCATTCACCCAAACACAACACTTACAGAGTCACATGAGGACACATACTGGTGATAAACCTTTCAAATGTGATATATGTGAGAAGGCATTCACCCAGTCACAATGCTTGCAGAGTCACATGAGGACACATACAGGTGATAAACCTTTTAAATGTGATATATGTCAGAAGGCATTCATCCAGTCTCCGAACTTACAGAGTCACATGAGGACACATACTGGTGATAAACCTTTCAAATGTGATGTATGTCAGAAGGCATTCACCCAGATACAACACTTACAGAATCACATGAGGACACATACTGGTGATAAACCTTTCAAATGTGATGTATGTCAGAAGGCATTCACCCAGTCACACTACTTACAGAAACACATGAGGACACATACTGGTGATAAACCTTTCAAATGTGAAATATGTGAGAAGGCATTCACCCAGAAACAGTACTTACAGAGCCATATGAAGACACATACTGGTGATAGGCCTTATGTTAAGTCTGTGAAAAGGCGTTTCACCGATTAGATAATTTACATGAACACAGGTTTGAGGAAGACGCATACTGGTGATAACCGTATAAACCTTATAAAGGTGATCTATGTGGATAGGCATTCAACTGTGCAGGAAAATTACAGATACACATTAGAACACATACCGGTGAAAAACCTTATAAATGCGAAGTGTTGGAAGGCATTCAAGAGGTCCAAGGACTTACAGAATCACATAAGGAGACATATAGGTCATAAACCTTATATTAAAATGCGATGTTAATTCTTGAAAGGACCATATAACGATAGATATAGGTGAAAAACCTTACAAATGTGATGTATGTGGACATGCATTCAGTGGATCATATAGATAAAAGAAACACATGATTGACATGAAGACACATACAGGTGATCGTCATATACACATTATATAGTGTAGAAAATAAAGGATGGAATAAAGTATTTCAGAACAACATTAAGATACACAACAGTGATACATATGTCAATTTGAAGTTTCCCAAATTAGGTTCATCAGACAATATATTGACAGAGAAAGATAACACATATTTTCATTATTTTATGAAATTAAAACACCCTTAAAAAGGGATTTTCTATGATATGGTATCAAACAAGAAGGCTTATACAAGCTATCCCTGCTGCCCAATCCATTTATGCATGCATTACATAATAAAATGATGTTCAAATCAAATCAAACGTACAATTGACCAAAAATGATGCATGGAAAGGTAAACACACCACATAGTCATATACTCATTTGATAGGTATGGCTATATACTAGTAGTTTCTAAAAATAGCATTTCCCGCCAAATTACTATACATGTATGTACATGATGTATAAGTAGCTCAAGCATATCAAATACCGTATAAGTAGAATTTTTAGCGAGGATTTAATTTTGGCATTATTAGCGAGGGTGCTGACATCGCTAAAATTGAATATCGCTAAAAATGAATTGCATATTGTTTGAAATAGCTTCTTTAGGAAGCGTTTTAAAATCGCTAAAATTACTTCTCGTTAAAAATAAAATACCAGATTTTAGGTAGAAATCGTTAAATTTGCATCTCGCAAAAATTTCCACTTGTACGGTATATTACAAGAAAACTTAATTTTTTCCCGTTGATGTCCAAAATCTGTACAATATAATTGATATGGTAAAATTTGATTGTTGATACTAATAAAATTATTTATTTATTATGAAGAAATGAATAAATTTTAAAATACATGCTGAATTTTATTTTTAAATTCTTTTTTATCACCTTTAATTTATTTGGTTGAATTTAACACAAAGACTTTATCATGTTTATGTTATTGATTCCCAGAATAAAATTGTATGTTTGATTGTTTTTTTTGTAAAGCTCACCTGAACCAAAGGCTCAAGTGAGTTTTTAGGTCACCTGAGTCACTCAGGTGACCTATTGCTCTCTGTTTTCGTCCGTCGTCGTACGTCGTTTGTCGTCAATCGGTCATAAACTTTTGAACATTTTCAGCTTCTCCTCTGGAACGACTGGAACGGCTGAGCTAATTTCAACCAAATTTGGTATACAGCATCTATGGGTGAATGGGAACAAAAATTGTGAAATTCCTGGCCCTTACCCCCCTGGGGCCTGAGGGGTGGGGCCAAAACCACCAAAATTAATACAATCTTTAAAAATCTTCTACTTTACTCCTGGACATCAAGCAGTCAAACTGTTGGCATGATGATAATCAGCATTGAGTCCTCTACCAAAATTGTAAAATTCATGGCCCCAGGGTCAGGGGTTCTTGGGTACTATGGTGGGGCTATATAGATCATATAGTAAAAGTGCATTATCTCTTTGAAAATCTTCTTCACTGCTCCTGGGTATTAGATAAACTTACTAAATACATAGTTATGATAAGCAAGATTGCCTCTTTCAAAATTGTGAATTTTATGGCTTAAGGGTCAGGGGTTCTGGTGTTAGGGTGGGTCTCTATTGATTATATATTGAAAACATGTTGAAAATACATTAATTCTTTGAAAATCTTCTTCTCTGCTTCTGGTCATTAAATAAACTAACTAAGCACATAGTTATGATAAGCAAGAATATCGCTTTAAAAATTGTGAAGTTTATGACCCCAGGGTCAGGGTTCTGGTGTTAGGATGGGGCTCTATTGATTATATATTGAAAATACATTAATTCTCTGAAAATCTTCTCTGCTCCTGGGTATTAGATAAACTAAGTACATAGTTATGATGGGCAAGAATGCCTCTTACAAAATTGTGAATTTTATGGCCCCAGGGTCAAGGGTTCTTGTGATAGGGCGGGGCTCTACTGCTTATAAATAGTGAAATTATGTTAAATCTAAGTGTATAGTTATGATGAGTAATGATTCCTTTTTCAAAATTTTGAATGCCATGGTGTCTAGTTTAAAAACATAAACCAAACTTAATCATCGGAAAGTTGTTGCTTAGGTGACCTATACGGCCCATGGGCCTCTTATTCTGATCAAAATTTGTCAATTGTCTGTCCCTGTCGCTGTTGTTTGCGTCATTGTCGTTTGCACACTTTCATAATCTCCTAAAAAATTACAGGGCCCATTTCCACCAAAATTACCACAGAGTATCCTTAGGTGAAGGAGGTTTCATTTGTTCAAATGAAGGACCAGACCTTCTTCCAAGGGGAGATAATTCATGCATTGAAGATTTTTTTTTTCCAATCATGACCCTGTTTTTCTTACAAAGTATCTTTCTAAAGTTCAGGAAAAATCTGTTATGTTGATATAAATCCTCAAGTAGTATAAAATTCAAGCCCCCCTCCCCCTTTCAGTAAATTTTTGAATACTGACACCCCTACTAATGTGTTCGGAACCTTTTATTTTTCGATGTTCTGCATATTATAAAACCCGGTGAGTTCAGAGTAGCTCTGGCAGTGGCCCTGGCGAGGGTTAGCGAGACTTCAGCGAGATGGGCTAAATTATTCACGGAAATGTGGCTAGGAAGTGACTAGCACGTGGAGGCATGGTAAACAGAAAAGTTATATTGCTTTTCAGTTTTCACCACCCTAGAATCAGCTGATAATGTCTGTAGAAATGTACTTCAATCAATCAATCTCTTTTACATTCATTCAAACTTAAACAAGTTTTTTATAATACAATTTTCTACAGTCATGAATTAAAATTTCTTTTTGGACAAATAATTTTGCATGGGAACCGGGACTATATTTTTTGGCGTCAGATTAGCAAATGAGGCACCAGCATGATTTTAACTGACCAATCAGCTGAATGAGTGTTGCATTATGGGTTACTACGAATACTAAAAGAATTTTACGTTTGAAAAAAGGAAAACCTGATGGTAATGAAAAGCTTTCTTAAAAATATTATTTTCATGCTCATAATGACAAACAATTCATTTGTTAAATAAACGGCGGAAGTCTAGGTTTCTGAAAGTCATACTCCAAAAGCGATTTTCGTCTGTATTAATTCCTTTGTTGTACTATCGGTGAATACAATTGCCAGGTGAATTCCCTGGCCGAGCACGTGATCACTAACATGTACAAAGTTTTGTCCATTTAAATGCATAAGAGATGGTGCTTGTTTTCCTTACCCTTGAAGCGCTGTTGTTCTGATTAAGACGCAAACTACATTTTATTAAACTTTTTTTCCATTTTACAACAAATTAAAAACGCCCGTAACATCTTTCATAGTTTCTTATCTTTGTATTTTGTTCGCAAGAATATTTTTTTTTATTTTGCAGTCCATTAACATGACCTGAACTACGTGTTCGAAGTAAAATGTAAACATCTATTTGGCGTAAACGTTGCTATTCATTCAACGATTGGTCAATTCCTCGTGGTAAGATCCTCTGCGCATTTATAACAATAGCCATATAAGGCAAACAAAGGTTTGTCAGTGTAGATGATTTATATGCAGAATATTTACCAGCGAATCGGTCACTAGTGAGTTCTAATTTTCGCCGAAAGTATGTAAGGTATATTGTTATTTTAAAACCCCCTCTTTCAGCCACACCTTTTCTGTTGAAAATCATGAAAGTCTTTAAGAAAGGTCTGATAACATTTATTACAGGACATGTTTCTAACAGAAACAGGCTATAGCAATGTCATGTTTACTGCCAATTTTATTTATAAAACCGGTTCTACCCTATAACCTTTGAATAGGTCAACCTAAACCACGTGTCTTGAATTTAAATCACAATAACATTAGTAGGGGTGACTGAGCTGATTTGTGCTTTTTCCTATAGCCGATGTGTACAGGTGAGCAATGTGGCTCATGGGCCTCTTGTTGCATTTAATTTCCTCAGAGAAATACGTCAAGAAGTAATATTTACATTTGCTGATGGTTTTCTAGTAAGCCAGCTGTGAATTGGATTTTAATTCCATTTTCGTGCATACTCAAGCGTAGAAATGTACACGGAGAATCGTGTAAATGTGACATCACAATGAGTCTACAGTGACGATAGTTAAAGTAAATAAAACGATTTATTATACCTCTACTGTAATTACTCTATATAAAATTTCTCCAAGAAGATACTATTTCCCTCATCTGAGGACTACTCCCTGGAAAATCAGAGCTACTCTCTGGGACTACTCCCTCATGAATATTTATTAGTAATTTTAATTAATCAAAGTGTTCAGTGGGTTGAGCGTTCAAGGAATCTCGAGTCTGTGACGTCATGTTATTAGCACTGTAACTATGACATCAAAAGAATTCGACATGCAATATCCAATTCATACTTGATTTCCAGTAGAAAAAGGACAACGATAATTTTTCGAAATGTTTGTGAAACTACTTTTCAAAAATATTTTTACATGTTCTCGGACACAATGCATTAGTTATTTTACAATCTTTTAAACTGCATGTATTTGTGATTATGCCTCTACTGTGTTTTAACTTTTTTTTAAATATCGGAAAATCTGGTTTAAAAAGTTAATGATCTCGCCCATGATTGTTTTGCTATTATAAAACAGTTGTGGAAAAGGAATGGGAACTTCCTCGGGAAATGGTTTCACCCTATAGAAACCATAAACCATAAGGAATGTTTTTCAGTTAAGTGTGAATTATTGGTGTTTGAATCACACAGACTTGCAAGTAGACTTACTTTTCATGAGGCACTAGCGTGTATCATGAAATATGCCTCAATTGAAAGCTATTTTTCTTATCACTATTGCAGAAAGAAAACACAGTGTTTGAAACCAATTCAAATATTCAAGAAGATGGTGAGAATTTAATGGACTTTTATTCAGATCAAAATCAAACAGGGAGAGTACATGTAAAAAGACAAATCCACACACATGTAAGTAATAAACCCGATAAATTAAACAATATGGAAGCTTCAAGTAGTTCAACTCGTTTAGATCACTCAAAGAGACACGTCGGGACACAAACCAGGGATAAAATTTTTAAGTGTGAATTATGTGGGAAGGCCTTCTCTGCATTAGTAGAAATAAAAAGCTACCCGTGGACACAAAGTGGT